TTATGATCAAAATGTGATCAGTTGTTTGTGGTGTCCTGGGCTAGTTTAGGATTCTGTTGGAGCAGGGCATTAACCTCCCCTTCAGCTGCTGGAGATGATCATGGCTCTGGGGTGTAGGACCCCATCTAACAATGGCTTCCTCCCTCAGGCCAGGCGGAGGCCGGTCATGAGCAACCACACGGGCACCCACATCCTCAACTTCGCCCTGCGCTCCGTGCTGGGGGAGGCTGACCAGAGGGGGTCCCTGGTGGCACCCGACAGGCTGCGCTTTGACTTCACAGCCAAAGGAGCCCTGTCTACCCAGGAAATCAAGGAAGTTGAAGGGATYGCCAACCAGATGATCGAGGAGGCAAAGGTGGGTACAGGTGACARGTTGTGTACCTTGAGTCCAGGTTTTGGATGATCTGGGATGCTGGGAGTTTGGCATGCAGGAGGTTTCTGAGTCTGCTGGTACATTGCTGTGCACTAATTGCCATCACCTCAGAGGGTTTTGAGTGGGAAAACCCCATGTGGATTGTTCTGTTYATTGGTGTCAAGCCCTCTGTAGGGTTGGAGTGTTCCATAACTGCAGTAGTGTCACATCAGCTACAAGAGCCAGGAAATTTGGCAGAGTAGTTTTGCAGGCCTGGCTGGATTTACAGTGTGCACCCAGACAAACCAAGTGGCAGGAGAGTTGCTCTCTCTGGTGCCAAGTGTCAGAACAAACCCTGAGGCTCCCTGGAGTCTGTGCTTGGTACCATTTGCATGTGCAGTAGCACACAGAGAGTCTGAGCAGGACGTACTGGGACTTTGGAAGGTGGGGCATGTGCTAAGAATTTTGTGATCCTTGCAGCTCAACAAACCCCAGCTCAGGTGAGGCACAAGGCTTCATTTGTAGTATCTTTCAGAGGAGGAAAATTCCTGGGAATGTGGGTCCTCAGTCACAGCTGACAGGACTGGCTCTTACCTGCATCCCTTTCCTGTTCCTCTGCAGCCTGTGTATGCCAAGGACTGCCCTCTCGCAGAAGCCAAAGCTATCCAAGGACTTAGGGCAGTTTTTGACGAGACCTACCCTGATCCTGTCCGTGTGGTCTCCATTGGCATCCCCGTGGAGGAGCTGCTGGCTGACCCCTCTGGCCCTGGGGGTTCCATCACCTCGATTGAGTTCTGCGGAGGGACGTGAGTACCTGGAAAGGCTGCAGGGGGGCTGAAAAAGAGTTCCTGTGGAGCTCGAGCTCCTGGGAATGCCGTGAGCGTACACTGGGCACAGCCAGGGCAGAGCTGGAGGTGGTGGTGATGATGTGCCTTGGCACACCAGTCCTGAGTCAATCAGTCTTTACAATTTTTGCAGGCAGTAAACTGCCTGTATTGCCCCTGCCCTCACACAGGGTCYCTGGCAGTGCTGGGAGCACAGCTCTTGCCACCCTTTCCTCCCTCATTTGCTTTTAGCACAGGTTTTTTCTGCCTATCCCCACACTTGCTGCATCTCCCTGGCAGGATTGATGTCTTGTTTCTGTGCTGATTCTTGCTGAGATGAGAGATGGACTTCTAATTCTCTTGTGTGTCTGTTTGGGTTCTTTCCAAAGGCACTTGCAGAACTCCAGCCACGCTGGCCCCTTTGTGATTGTTTCAGAAGAAGCAATTGCTAAAGGTATTCGGAGGATAGTTGCAGTCACCGGGGCTGAAGCTCGGAAGGTAAGGGTAGGCAGGAGAGATCCCCTGTGAAATTCCACCTATTAACCCTGTGCYAAAGTTAATTTTGTTTGAATTTGCACAGTATCCCTGTCAGCACCAAGGAGAATTCTCTGAGTGACTCATGGAAAAGGGTGGTGATGTTGGCAAAGGCCATGCTGGAGACCCCAGCTGTACTACAGTCAGAGTGGGGAACACAGGGGGAAGTCTCAGCTGTAAATGTTGTGGCAGAGAAACCTGGGTGGGCGTGTGGGATGGCTCTGGGGTTAGCTCAGGTTGGTTTTGCAGAAGGGCTGCAGATATAGAGCTCTGAGCAGCTGGCAAGGCTGGCAGGAGACTGGTGAAGTCTGAGAACCCAGTCCTCTCCTGCCGGAGGCAGTGACTTAGGATGTGAGCTGGTGCTTGCTAAAGTGGGAGAAAGGGATTTCATGGGGGAGATGATTTCTCTTTTGGGGGAATCTTGGCAGTCCTGGCAAAGAAAGAGGCCTGGGGCCTGTGTACCAGCATCACACTCTGATTCTGGTCAGGTGCTGCCTGCTTTGGCCCTGTGGTTTCCCAAGACATACTAAGTTCTATTCTGGGGCATTCCAGCATTCTTCACTTCTTCTCACTCTAGGGTGGCCAAGAGCCACTGTTCAATATTTCTGCTTGATTTGACTCAGGCTGTATTCTCCTAGGCCCTCAGGAAAGTTGACAGCCTCAGGAAACTGCTGTCAGCCTTGGAGGCCAAGGTCAAGGTCCAGACAGCTCCCAACAAGGATGTGCAGAAGGAGATCGCAGATCTCGGTGAGGTGAGGATGGTAGCAGTGCTCTACTTCCCCAGAGTGGTTGGAACCTTGATTGCCAGCAGTGGGTGGTATCAATAAGACTCGAGTTCACCTGCCTGCTCCTGTCCCTTGGATACTGCAGCCAGCACCTGCTTCCTCATGTCATTGGCACTGGGAGAGGAGTGGAGCTTACTGAGCTCTACCAGTTGAGGCAGAGGTTCATAGGTGCTGCATCYCCTGTCGTGGTCACTGGCACCTTTAACCCTCTCTACTTGCTTCCCTTTTGCAGACACTGGCCACTGCTGTTATCCCACAGTGGCAGAAAGATGAACTGAGAGAGTCTGTTAAAGCACTGAAGAAAGTCATGGATGACCTGGACCGAGCAAGCAAAGCTGACATCCAGAAAAGAGTRAGCCCTGGACTGGAGTAAAGGACAGTGTGGGAGGGCTGTGGGGTGCCCCCTTGGGAACTCCATTTGTGTCCAGCGTGGAAGAGAACTGATCTGTGAGATTGCCTCCTCACACTGTTCAACCTTCCAGCTTCTGCTGCCTCCTGAAGCAGAATTACCTCCATGCCTAGGTTGAAGCATGGCAGCTTGTTCCTGCCCTAATGGTGCCCCTGGGTGCAGGCTTCCTCCTGGATCCTGAGTTTTCTGGAGGGGGAATCATACATATCATGCTGTCTTGTGGGCCACATACCTACCTGTCAGAATATTTTGCTCCTGGCTCCACAGTGTGAAGCTGCTCCAGACTGGGCTGTGGGTGTGTTTTGGCACCTTTGGGCCCTCTGTCCCTGCTCTACCCAGGTGGTTCATGTGTCCACACACAGTGTGGGTGGTCTAATGGCTGACTGCTGTCGTCCTCAGGTGCTGGAGAAGACCAAGCAAGTCATTGAGAGTCACCCTAACCAGCCATGGGTCATCATGGAAATGGAAAATGGAGCCTCAGCAAAGGTATGGAAAGACCTCATGTCAAGTTCTTCCCTGGCCAGGGGTGAATCTGCTCCTTCCCTCCTCCACACACAAGTTTTTTCCAAGTGATTTCTATTGGAATGAAAGCTCCCTTGTGTGCACMGTGTCTCAGTGCTGAGCCCAGCAAGTATCAGGAAGCGGAGGCTGCTTGTGCCTGGGCTTAGACCRCTCTGGGTTTAGTGCCCTGTTAAAATTTTCTCTCTGGGACTCTTGGAGCTGATCCCACTCACTCTCTGTGGCCACCACCATCACCATGRTGCCCACACTTCTGCTCCCATTGGGTGCTGTTGCAGTGTTTTCCCCAGCAGAAGGGTGCATCCCATGGGATGGCAGTGCTGGCAGCCCAGGGAGCTGCATGTTCCCAATCCAACCAGAGCAGCACTGATTTGCTCGCCAGAGGACCCACTCCTGGGCTTCTGTGCTGCATCATGCTGTGTGTGTGGGCGAGAGATGGTCTCCTTGGGAATAAAGAGATGTGTGGCAGTCTCCCTGGTTTCTGTCCTACCTGCTCTGTCTGGGAACATCTTCATGCTGCCTTTGAGTTCTCCTGACTCCCTTTGGAACAGCTGCTCCCTCCTGGGAGGAGCTTTTTGCCCTCCAGCCAGTACACTCASGCAAAGGTTCATTCTGGGGCTGCTTCTGCCAGTTTCTGGATGCCTGAAGGTGGGGAAATAAGATTCTTCTTCCTGCCTCGGGAAACATAGCCAGGGTTTATGTCTGCTGCCAAGGCTTCTACACTGCCAGGAATGTGAAGATGGCTCGTAGTTGGAAGGAGATGCTGCTCCAGCAGTTGGGACTGGAGCTGGGCTGAGTGCAAGCGCAGAGAGGCAGTCATGTAATGATTTTGTTCTCTTACAGGCCCTGAACGAATCTCTGAAGCTCTTCAAGACTAACTCCCCTCAGACTGCTGCTATGCTCTTTGCTGTGGATAATGAAGCTGGCAGGATCACCTGCCTCTGTCAAGTACCCCAGGTAACACCAGGACTGCATGCCTGCCTCTCCCTGAGCCTTCGTGGAGGAGCTGCACCCTCCAGGCAGGAATAATCTAAAATAACACAGCCACAACTGATGGGAGCTTAGCAAGAGCCACARCCCTCGTGCTTGGGCTTATTGTCAGGCTGCAGAAGTGAAGGAAAAGGACTTGTGCCTTGCAAACAGGGAAGGGGAAGAGTCAGGACTCGACGCAGTGGTAGTCAGGGGGCAGGAGACTSTTGTTCTTCCCTCAGTGCTGACCGCTGGGTTTCTTTTCCTGCCCAGGAGACTGCAAATAAGGGCCTGAAAGCGAGCCAGTGGGTGCAGGAAGTGTCTGGCTTGATGGACGGCAAAGGCGGAGGGAAGGACATCTCTGCGCAGGCAACAGGCAAGAACGTGGGCTGCCTCCAGGAAGCCCTGAAACTGGCCACGGACTTTGCCAGGCTCCGGCTGGGGGAGCTGAAGAACTGACTGAGGGGGGAACCCCTGCCCCTTTGTCTCCCTGTCTGTCCTCTGCCTGGGATTCCTGTCAATAAAGGCCCCCTGCCCCGCGCTGTGCGCCCCGGCTCTGCTGAGGGGAGGGGACGGGAGAGGATGGGGTGGGATCGTCCTGCCAGTCACAGCCTGGGCCCGCCCTCTGCTCGTGCCCGCCCCCTGCCCGCCCTCACGGCGTACCGCCGAACATGCCGCTCGATCACCGCCGCCTCTGCGGCCCGGAGGAGTCGCAGCCGCCGGCGCTGTGGGCAGCGATCGCGGCCGAGGATGAGGAGGACGAAGAGTGCGTAGGGGCGGCGCCGCGGGACCCCTGTGCCCTGCGGCCGCTGTTCGCGCGGGCCGGGCTGCTGAGCCAGGCGCAGGGCTCGGCCTACGTGGAGCTGGGCAGCGGCACCAAGGTGCTCTGCGCCGCCTGGGGCCCGCGGGAGGCGGCCGAGCCCGGGCCGGGCCGGCTGCTCTGCGAGTTCCGCCGGGCGCCCTTCGCGGGACACGGGGCGCGGGGCCGGCCGGGCACTGCGGCCGAGCGGGAGGCGGAGCGGGACGCGGCGGCAGCGCTGCGGGAGGCGCTGGAGCCGGCCGTGCGGCTGGGCCGGTACCCGCGGGCTCGCCTGGCCGTCAGCGCGCTGCTGCTGCAGGACGGGGGCTCGGCGCTGGCCGCCGCCATCAGCGCCGCCGCCCTGGCCCTGGCGGACGCGGGCGTGGAGATGTACGACCTGGCCGTGGGCTGCGCGCTGTGCCGGCCGCCCGCGCCCGCCGCCTCATGGATGCTGCAGCCCGCCGAGCCCGAGGAGCGCCGCGCCGCCGCCCGCCTCACGCTGGCCCTGCTGCCCGCCCTCAACCAGGTGTCGGCCGTGCTGGGCGGCGGCCGGGGCGGCCCGCCCGAGGACTGGGCTCAAGCCCTGCGGCTCGGCCTCGATGGCTGCCACCGGCAGTACCCGGTGCTGCGGCAGAGCCTGCTGCGGGCCACCCAGCGCCGCGATGCCGCCGCCGCCGCTGCCACCGCCGCTGCTACCGCCAGTGCCGCCGCTGCCACCAATGCCTGAGTGCCCGTGAGAGCTGCGTGCCCCATTCTGGAGATGGGCTCATCTCCCAGAACCTGTCCAAACTGCCTTCARTGCTACCGGAGACCCTTGAGGCCTTCCTGATCCATACCTCGCTGTTGGGGATTAAAAGAAGTTTACTTTTAGAATATTAGAGGTTTGTTAAGTTTAAGCTTAAAGTTTAATTGTTACTGCTGGAGAATCCCCTGATCCAACCTGATCCGTGCCTCATGCTGCTGGAGAGCCTCCTGAGCCTATCCATGTGCTGCTGGAGACCCCCTGGTGCTGCCCACACAGCTGGAGGCCCAAGAACTCTGCTCAAGAATGCCAGAGTGCAGCTCCACCACCACTGGAGAGCCCCCAAAGCAGCACCCACACTACTGGAGCACCCCAAAGTGCACATGAGGAGCCCCCTGTTGCTGGAGACCATTCCTGACTGGCACCACAGGATCCAAATAGCCTTGCACGCTGCTGAAACACCCACAGGAACAGTCTCCCTACTGCCTCAGCAGGMAGAACCTGCCTAAGACCTCCCTACAAGCAGCTGCCAGCATTGTGAGACCCCACATCTCACCCCGAGGTGATCACAGCACCAGGCTGAGACCCTCTCTCTAAGCTCCGCACCATAATTATCCACGCAGGCAGCATCCAGGCAGCACCGGGCAGGAAGCACATCGTGGAAACACGTCATGGCATGGACTGTGCATCCCTTGGACTTCAGGGTGATAAGAGTTGTGTTTTGTAAGTTTTTTCATAATAATAAATCATCTTTTTTTCTGATGAGTCTTTTGCCTGCRGGGCCCTGCCTCTGCCTGCATGGCCAGAGGTGGAAGGATGCACTTCCACAATTGGGRTCACTCCCTCTGCTCCCACTTGTACTTGAGGAGTGCCAGGGAAGCTGGGTGCTTCCTTGAAATCAGGATATTCCTGGAGATGGAGTGGAGCAGGTTGGTCCTGTCTGCCAAGYTGCACCATGGTGGGCTGGTAGGGAATATTCTGGGTATTTTCCATTTGAAACAGGGCAGAGCTGCACTCCTGCCTCTGGTTTGAGCTGTAGGAAAGGCAGCATCCAGGTAGGCCCTCAGAGCTGCGGGCTGTGTCTGGCAGCACATAAAATGGGGTACAAAAATTAAACATGTACTTCAGATATTTAAAAACTGCATTRGAGTCAAATAACCAAAGAAAAGAAATACAAATTATTTTTGTTCCCAACACAGCACACTCTTTTACCAGAGCAAATTAGAAATACAGAACAAGTTCCTACCAGTGAGAGAACGATGACCAAGAAATGAGGGACATGGACCTGAAACACGATGCTGGGGAGCACAGTGARGACCAGGACTCCATGGGGCAGGCCAGGGGCCCCATAAAGCTCTTACTGGAGTCCTGCAGGAACAATGCCTGGCTAAGAACAGCCTGTGGMAATCCAGTAAGGAAAATACATTTGGGAGGGGCAAATGGGAATGATTGAGTTGGCATTGCCCCACTGCTGGTCCTGCAGTTTGGCACCATCCCAAAATCCCAAAAAAAGCCTCCTAAAGCTGGCTTAGGGTGGTTCTTCCTGTGGTGGCATGCTGAGCAGCTCTGAAAGCCACTCTTTTCTACCCATGCCTGCTGTACCAGTTCCCAGGATCTGAAAGTTGGGATGTGACCTGTGCTGTAGGGGTGGGAACCCTGGGCTACTTTCTCTGTGCTCCACAGTATCATGTGGCTGAGGTGATACTGGCAGCAAGGCAGATGGGATTCGGGATGCTCCTTTAAGATACGGTCCTTTTGGTTTTTTACTGCTCCCCTCCCTCCCCAGGCCACCTCTGCTAATCCATAGGTTTGAAAAGAGGAAGAAAAAGAAAAGAAGCACACTGGAACACAAAAACTTCTCTCGCCAGAGCTGGCTGGCAACTCCCAGGGTGGGACACAGGGCTGCCAGTGGCAGGGGATGGCCTTGCTGAGGACAGGCACCTCACGTGTGTGGCACTGCCTGGAAGCCTCAAAAGAAATAATGACCACAAGCTGGGATGGACTGGCCATACGGGAAGGCCACGGCATCCCAGTCCAGCTACTGGCTCCCCTCAGGGYCCGACCTGTGGGTTTTCACCTGTGAAGAGAAACACAGCATGGCCATCAGGATCAAATCCAGCACCCTGCTCAGCACAGGGGTGCCTGGGATCCCACACGCAGCTGGGGGATACAGGTGTGGGAGCAGCACATTTGGCAAAAGGTATTTCTGCTCTGAGGGTTTTTTGTAGCCTCRGTGCTGGAGTGATGCACACGCAGGTGTTTGCTGCAAGGTGCTTGGGGATGTTCTGGATGTCCTCGAAGTTTTAGCCCTGGCCCACAACTGGAATGGCTTGGGGAACCCTGATGGAGTGTTTCCTTTATTCCTGGCATCAATCACTAGCAAGCAGGGGTGGCTTTTAGGGAAGCAGAGAGCCTCACAGGATTAGGCCTTCCTCTTACCATCTCCTCTGTGTCTGTGCTCTCCTCGGCAYTGTCGATGTTGTGCAGGCCGTTGTGCCCATCAGCCTCYGTYCCCTCCTTCCCCCRTGACTCCTCTCTCCCTGGAGATGGYGACTTTGTGCTCAGCTCTTCCCTCTTCTCACTTTCCATGGACCCTGTGAAGGCAGAGACAGAAGAAACTTGGGATATCTGCAAACACCAGCCCTGTCCTTGCCAGCTTCCCTTGTGCCAGCCAAAAAAACAGGCTCTTCACTGCCAGCCCAGAGAAGGGAAGGGATGCAGGGAATCTGCCCAGGCAGCTCTGGATGTCCTGGGCACACAGGGAGAGACCTCTTACACCCAGCTCAAGGTCCAGAGCTGCCTGGCATAGCCATGCAASGTTTGGAGGGGCTGCAGCTGGTCCCCTCACCCGTGAGACGCTCTCTCCGCTGGTCCATGTGGTCCAGACTTTCCAGCAGACTGTCCACCTGTGCCTTGATCTGGCTCAGCTCCCCCTTGATGGAGTGCAACTCTTCGGCTCGCACTGCAGGGAGAGGAGCCATGAGGATCCCACCCAGAGCCAGGAAGACACGCCATCCTGGACAGCCACCTCCGGAGCATCTCCCTCTGCAGGGCATTCCCCTTCCCTGGAGCATTCTCCTCCACCAAACATTCTCCTCTATGAAAGAAMCTCCCCACTGGGCATCTGTGGGGAGCAGGAATGGATGCAGAGGACAGCCAGCACACCAGTGGAGCCCAGGCTGTGTCTGCTGGAGCTGGGGACTCAGAGCAACAGAGTCAGCACCAAGTGGAGCCTCTGGGTTCTAATACACTGAGTTGCAAGATTTCTGCTTTCTCTTCCTCCCAGCCCTGTTGCACTAACACTTCCTCCGTCCTGTTGTAGAGCTGGTGCTGCTCCTCGTCCCAGGCTGGGGACTCAGGCTTCTCTTGCTTCCTCCTCCCAAATGAGTCCGTCTGGTCTTGACTGGGATGCGGTTAATGAGCAGGGGGATCTTCTGGTACTCGTACACCCTGCAAGGGCACAAGAGSAGGGTGGCATGAGCACAACCTCAGATGTGCAGCAGCAGCCCCTGCCAGCCAAGAGAGCATCTCCTGAGGTCCCTGTGCAGTAAAGGACCCCCAGCCTGGGCACTGCCCTGCCCGCACACTGTCCCTGCCCCATGTATCCATCCCCCAGGCCCCCAGCCAGGGGAGCTGCAGCTCCTCAAAATGGGGAAACACCACTGAGCCCTTGTCAAAGGCATGGGGACAGATGCTCAGGGACACCCTGCTTTTCCACAATCAGAGATACAGTCACATGCCAAACCCACACATGCTCAGCTCATCTCGCTCCTGGGGTGCTGCGCTCACCGGCACGGGATGTCATCCCTGTAGAGATTGCAGTCCAGGTCACAGTTACTGCAGAAGGGCGAGAGAAGAGAGGGCTTTGAGGGAGATGATGAGAGTCCCCAGGGCAGCATCAGCAGGGTCTGCCCTCAGGAAGCTGCATTTCGAGTGCCCAGTGTTAAGTTTCACGGTTGTGGCTCCATACACACACTGTCAGCTCTCTTGGCTCCAAATTAAGAAGTGATCTGTCAACAGATCACTTCCACAGCAGGCAGTGACATTCCAGTAATAAATCATGCACTCTGGACCAGGGAGTGGGGGAAGGAGAAGGAAGAAGACAAGGAAGAGGAAAGATGCTGAAGCTCATTTTGCTGCTTCAGCTCTTGCAGATTCAGGGAGTGTAGGATTAAGTGAGGGGAGACAAAGCCATGCTCTGAGTATCACTTGGAGCAGGGAGCCTTCATGCTGCCAGGAATGAGGGGCCAGGACAAGGCCCCCAGGGCTCCAGCTGTGGCTGCTGATGAACTTGTCACCGCAGGGTCAATGCAGGAGCTTAGAGAGAGCTGGAGGTCTGCTGGGGGCTCGCAGGCATGCTGGGCTGCTCTGCCTAGGCCAGGCTTGCCCGGCCCAGAGGGCAGCTCAGAGCCCATCATAGGGCAGAGGCATCCCCTTGTCCCTCTGCCACTCTGCCTTCTTCAAGAATTATCTGCACAGGACACAGTCCACAAGTGCCAGCCCTTCTGGTGAGGGTGAGCTGGCAGCTCTGGGCAACCAGGACCYGCCTGTTCCTGTGCTTTACTCACAGGGTACAATTTTTGGGGTGTGTTTAGGAAGCTTTTGGTCCAAGCTTGCTGCCTTCATCACTGTGGTGGGGACGGCAAGTCCTTTACATCCCCAACTCCTGCTGTCAGGGGGGAAGGTGGTAACCTGCCCTGGGGAAGAGGGGATGGGCAGATGGAAAGGTGTCCTAACCTACATACAGGGCACGGGGGAAGTGCCCTCTCCAATGGCTTCTGATCCTGCATGGAGCCCATGCCAAAAGGGAGGGGGATGCCACAGGGCACCCTGTACTTTGGGACAGCAGTTGACCCTGCAGCGCAGCTAACTTGGGGTCTAGCACCCAGCTGGGGACACAGCAAGGGATTTCCTGGCTCAGCTCTTAGCACAGAGCATCCCCTGGGAAGAGCAAAAGCAGTGGCTGCCATGCTSTAGTGCCCAAGGGCTGCATCCCTTCAGCTCCATGGCAACGGGCAGAGCAATTAGTTCAGTCAGGGCATTCACAAAAAGCTCTAACAAGACAGGAGCCCATCTCTGATCCCCTCCTCACCACACATCCACTGAGATGTGGAACCAAAAGTACACAGAAATGGGGACCAGCTCTTCATCTACCACTTGTACCACCATCACCATCACCTATTTTTCTCCTCAGGATGACACCTCTGTGTGCCTCTRCAGGCATGTCTGTCCCCAAAAGCCAGCATTTTAAAGCCACAATTGCAACTGACATGGATACAGAATCACGGAATCGCATAAAAGTTTCAGTTGTAAGAGTCCTTAAAGGTCATCTCATTTCAAACYCCCAGCCATGGGCAKGGACASCTTCCACTAGMCCAGGTTGTTCCAAKCCCCATCCAACCTGATCTTGATCACCTCCAGGGATGGAACATCCACAGCTTCCCTAGGCATCCTGTGCCGGGGCCTCACCACCCTCACAGGGAAGAATTTATTCCTTGAGTCCAATCTAGACTTGCCCCCTGACAGTGTGAAGCCATTACTGGGGGGCAACATCTGCAGCAGGTGTGGAGATCATGGTGCTTGTTCTCCCACGGCCTTCAGATGGGAAAGGGGAATCCCATTAGTGACAGCCACCAGGCAGGGGTGTCCCTAACCACTCCTCCCAGCTGGAATAGCCCGTGGAGTGAGTGACAGAGAGCAGAGAAGGAAGAGAAGCCAAGTGTGTGACAGCCCCCAGCTCCCCGTGCAGCCCTGCCCACCCCACACACAGGCACTCACTGGGACAAGCTGCTGCTGTGCTGCCGCTTCTGGCCCAGCCTGGCCCGGCTCGGCTTGGGCTCGCTGGCCATGTCCAGATCTGAGGGGAGAGAGGAGGGGARTGAGCAGYGGAAAGAAAAGGGATTRCCAGCATCCTACTCCATACAGACAWGTCTCTGACACCAGCTTCYCAGCCATGCTCCATTCTGGATGGAGATGTCCCGCTGCAGAGCTGGCAGATCTCTCCAGATTTAGGTTTTTGGGAAGAATGGCAGCAGCCCAAGATTTTTCCAGAGCATGTAATGGCTCCATATTCTCGTCCTGGTGGAGTAATGGTGTGGGGGGAATAATGCATGGGGGGYCATCCCAGTACTTAGAGGATATTCCTGACCTGGGGGCTATTAGCATGGGGACATCCCGGTATTGAGAGGACATCCCTGACCTGGGGTTAATGGCATGGGGATGTCCTCAAACTTGAAGAAATCCCTGTCCGAGGAGGGAATGGYATGGGGACATCCCAGTACTGAGAGGATATTCCTGTCCCATAGCTAATTCCTGTGGAGAYGTAATGGCACGGGGGCATCCCTGTACCGGCAGGACATCCTTGTTCCTTGTCCCGGGGCGATGTCATGGGGAGGACCAGGCATCCCGGTAATTGGGAGGTCATCCAGCCCTGAGGAGGGACTGGTAACGCTGTGGTGGGCACCCGGGAGGGAGCCGAGCCCGGGTGGGGGGCCTTAGAGGCACCAGTAGGCTGCAGGGGGACACCCCCGCCTCGGTCAGAGCTGGCGGTGCCGGGCGAGCATCCCAGTGCCGAGCGAGCATCCCGGTGCTGGGCGAGCATCCCAGTGCCGAGCGAGCATCCCGGTGCCAGAGCATCCCGGTGCCGAGAGAGCATCCCGGTGCCGAGAGAGCATCCCGGTGCCGAGAGAGCATCCCGGTGCCGGAGCATCTCCCCGGAGTGGGGAGCAGTAGGAGAGCCGATCCCGCGGGAGGGGCACTCGGGGAGGGTGGAGGGCCGGATCCGGCCGGTACTTACATCTCCAGCCCGCGTCCCCGCTGCCGAAGAGCGTCATGGCCCCGCTCCGGCCGCGCACCCCGCACCCCGCACCCCGAGCCCCGCACCCGACCSAGCGCGCTGCCACCGGGCGCTACCACCGCCGGGCGGGGGGGCCACGGGCCGCACCACCATGGCCATGCAGGGGGCACCGCGCCCCGCACAGTGGTCTGTGGCACCCCCACTGCCCGTCCCTGSCCGCCCCTCTGCCGGCATCGCGGGACCGGGCTCACCCTGCCCCGGGCATCTCCATCCTCACCCGCATCCTCCCGGGGCTCCTTCCAGCTCCATCCTCCCGCCCCTTCCCACCTGCCGGATCCCGCCCTSGGGATCTCCATCCTCACCCGCATCCTCCCGGGGCTCCTTCCAGCTCCATCCTCTCGCCATCTCCCACCTGCCGGCCCCTGCCCTCCTGGCTGCCGGYTCAGTTTCATTCTATTTCAGGGTTTGCCCGGAGCCCCGAGCCAAGCCCAGGAYGGTGCCTTACCCTCGGCTGAGACGGGGCACAACCAACAGGGCACACAACAGCCTGGCTGAGGACATTTTAATTGCCGCCCCAGCCCAGCACTGGAGCGGATTGTTATGAAAGGAGGAGGCAGTGGCGTGTMCCCTCCAAAAGCACCCTCTGACACCCACCAGTGCCTTGCACTCAGCTGAGTGCACCAGGCTTGCACTCAGCACATGGGGTGCTGTGACTTGGGGCCATCCTGGGGCTGGAAGAAGCAGCTCTTGGCTAAATGCTGCCCCTCCAAAAAAACCCCATGTGCTGAAGACAAGCYCAGTCAAGGCTGGCCTCAGCTCCTGCAACCCCAGAACCTGCTCCAGAGATGAAGCTGGAKGTACCACCCCACGCAGGCAGGATGTGGGCTGTGGCTAGGGAGAACCTGTGGGCTTGGGGGAGGAAAAAGACACAAAATGCTCTTCCCAAGGGTGTGAGGGTCTTTATTAAGGAGCAGATGATGATGATGAATGACCAGGGGATGGTGAAGAATTCACCAGGCTGGGGGGTTGTCACCCAGGTCAGGATGATGGCTCAGAGCTGAGCTGGTCCTCACCCTGAGCTGTACCAAGGTCTGCACCCCCAAAGAGCCCCCTTATCCCCTCGTTACACTGAGATCACAGTCCAGACACAGCCCGGCTGCCAGTTTTGGAGGAGGATGCTGCTGTACCTGGCTGTTACAGGGGCATCTCTGGGATGTTGCAGAGTGATGGTGACAGGAGAAGGTGAGGGGCAGAAGAAGATGCTGTTTCAGGGACGCTGATGTACAGCACACCCCTTCTTGCCAGGTGCCAGTGCCACGGGYCCCCTCAGCCTCTCATTCCCTGCACAAGTGAGCTGGGGGAGATCCTCCTGAGCCATGGTCTGGGCTTGGCACAGCACCAGGGTCCTTCTGTGTCACAGGTTCAGCACAGCAGCCAGCGCTGGCTGTTTTCCAGGGCTGTCAGCTCAGGGGTCCTGCTGCCATAGGGCAATGTGTTCYTGGGCTGCAATGGGATGTGTAGAGTCAGCCCAGGAGTGACACAGAGGTCTGGGCAGGGCTGGCAGCAAGGGACAGACCCAGCAGAGCCAGGGAYTGGCACCTCCAGGGCTCAGCACACCCAGGCAGACACAGGAGGGCTCACTCACCAAACTGGCAGATGTATCGGTTTCGAGTCTTGCAGCGCTGGTCATTCCAGTTGAAGGCGGCTGATGCTTGCATCTCCACACAGTTCCCAAACCTGTGTCCCACCAGGATGGTGGTGAAGCCAGCCAGCAGTGACACCATGCCCAGTTTGGTGTCCTCTAGATCCACTTACCCCTGGTTGTCTGGCTGCCCGAAAGCRAAGCTGGTGAAGGAGGATGGCTCGCCCACGTCCCAGCGGAAGGAAGCCTTGGATGTTTTGTAGGTGAGACCTGGGGGAGCAGGAGGTGGGTTGGCACATCTACCAGCACCCTGGGTACCCTGCCCCCTGCCCGCTGCTGTCTCTCACCAATCCAGAAATTTCCAGTCTCAAAATCGGTGTCTGTCACCCTGTTACCCATCTCCAAGCGGCTGAGGTAGAAAGCCAGGATGTCCTGAACCTTCTGGTTTCTTATCTGGGCCAGCATCGCCCCTTTCTCCTGTAGGGATGGGAGAAAGATTGCCTCACCCAGGTGACCCTGCCCTACACCAGCCAGAGGAGAGATGCCCAGGGGGTCTGCAAGCGTGTGTGGCACTTTTCAGTTGCACAGGGACGCTCAGAGCATCCCAGGAGCTCACCTGGCATTTAATTTTGGCTCCATAGTAGGTGTCAGCCTCGGGGGACACCATGAAGCAGTCGCTGTCTATCCTCACGTCGCAGGCATGGAAGGGGAAATGGATCTTCACTGGGGGCACAGGCAGGAGCGGGTGGGTCCTTGTGCCGGCAGAGCTGGGCCCACAGAGGACCCTTTGCCCCACTTTGGGGGTCCCTGCCTGTGGATCCCTGCTGCCATCCCGCAGCAGCGCAGGCGGGCACAGACTCACTGCCGCACTCGGCTCCACCGTAGCCCGCATCGCAGAGGCAGGAGCACTCCTCCTTCCTGAACCTTCCATGGAGGCACTGCCCGCTGCACCTCACTGTGGGCACAGCGCTGCGTTAGCCGTCAGGGGGCTCAGCAGCCCCTGCCCACCCTGGGGGCTGTGCTGCCCACGCTGCACCGGCCCTGCACCAACTCTGTGCCGGCACACACGAGCCCTGCAGCAGCCACGCACACACACGAGCCCTGCAGCAGCCACGCACACACACGAGCCCTGCAGCAGCCACGCACACGCCTCTGGAGGCTGCACGGTGCCCTCTCACCTTGGCAATACCTGCCCGTGTAGCCGGGGGGACAGGCGCACTGGCAGCTGCTCATGTCGAGGCGCCCGCTGTTCCTGCAGCTCATGCGACAGGGGTTCCTGGGCACCTCTGGAAACACCAGTGTGGCAGTGAGGGTGTCAGGGCCGGGGGCAGCATCACCAGGGCCGTGAAGGGGCAGTGGGGACGGCGGGGACTCACCGCAGAGCCCGCCACTGTGGTCCCAGGACTTGAAGCAGCCAGAGAGGCCGGCGGTGCAGAGGGAGCACCAGGGTCCCTGCTTGTAGGGCAGGATGGGCGTCCCGGCCACCTCCCAGTTGCCCCTGGCCCCACAGGCAACTGGAGGAGAGTGCCCCACCCACCTAGGCAAGCCCCCACCCACACGGCAAAGCCACACCCATTCCTAAATTCACAGCCCTGCCTACGTTCCCCAGCCTCACCCACTTCCAGAACTCGGTCCTGTCCACAGCACTCAGCCCTGCTCACTTCAACCCACAACCCCGCCCCCAACATCCTGACCCGCCCACTTCTCAAACATAGCYCTATTTGCATTTCCAAGCCCCACCCACATCACCCAGACCCGCCCATTTCCATCGCACAGCCCCATTCACCACCAGGACAAGCATCACCCCCTCCCTGAGCACACATCCCTTAGGTGAACCCATGACCCTACCTGGACACACCCAGGTGAAACCCCACCCACATTGCCCATCCCTGCCCATCCCCACCCTCACAGCCACACCCACCACGCCCCAGCCCCACCCTGCAGCCCCTTACCCCGGGGAGTAGGCACAGGCGAAGGCTTCGCTGGGGCCATGGGGGCCGGGACAGCGGTGCCGGCCGCAGCCCAGCTGCCCCGCCGTGGCCCACACCAGCTGTGGGAGAGCGTTTGTCAGTGGGGCCCCGCACCCCAGCGGGCCCCCCATTGCCCCCTGCCCACCTGGGTGTAATGGCGGCAGGTGGCATTGCCAGCACAGCGYCCCGTCCCGTAGTCATAGCGTCGTCCCTCGGCGAACCAGAGCTCCAGCACGGCCCCGAAGCCTCCGGCACCCGCCGGCAGCAGCACCTCGCTCCAGCCCAGCTGAGGGGCTGGCGGCGGAGCGGGGCCCTCCAGGCAGCTGGCTGCCCGTGCCCCCGCCAGCCGCCCCAGCTCCTCGCTCCACTCCTGCGGGGATGGGCGTGAGCCACCCAGGGAACAGCCCAAGGGGTTTGGGGACCACCGAGACTGGGGGATGCTGCAAGGGATCCCCAGGGCCCAGTGCTGCCCTTGGTGTGTGCAGCCATGGGGTGATCAGGAGACATCAGAGGGACATCAAAGATACCKCAAAGGACCAGCCCTGCTTTTGGTGTGCCCTGGTTGTAGCAGAGCCGGTGGCATGCCGTTCCCCAGGGGCCCCCCACCAGCCAGCTATTCTGCTTCATTAATGAGTTAAAAACTTCTGTGTATCACCCATGGGCTGCCCACCTCCCTGGGCATGGAGTGGGATGTGGATGTGACACGGAGGGTGGGGGGCCCGGGACTTGCACGGGGGCTCACCAGCTTCTGCATGTTTGCAGCAGGGGGTTGCACTTTGCTCCTCAACTTGTTGTGCAGGGAGAGCACCAGGAAGGTCTCCTTCATGCTGAGAGCTGGGGGGGACAGCAGGGGATACAGATGGGGCCAAGGGGGCTGAGGGGTACAAGTGCCTTCCCCGCACCCCTGGTTGTGGCCGGATCCTTTGGGGGACCGTGGGAATTCCCCCTGAAGGTTCCGACCGCAGCCGGGGATACCGGGAAGGCACCCGGGTCTCCATGGAGACTTGAGGGGAGAGAAGAAAGAGCTTTTGGGCTGGGAGCACAAAAGGGGCAAGGGGCCGAGGGGAGGGGGCAGCCTGCTGGGCCCCCGTCTCGCACGGGTGGGCTGAGACTGCCAGGAATGTACCCTCTCTGCCCTCATCCATCTCTGTCCTGCCAGGATCCAGACCCCACTGGGCTGGTCCCATCATCAGCCCCCATCACCAGCTGCAAGACAGCCAGACCCGTTCCATCACTAGCTCCATCCCATTACCAACCCCAGAGCCCCGTGGTTCCCTTGCAACACCAGCCCCAGAGTCCCCAGYTCCATCCCATCACCAAATCCATGCCCCCTCTCCCAGTCCCATTCCATCCTCTGCCCCCATCACCCACCAACCGCCCCACTGCTATTCCTGGGTGCCCATCACCAACCCAGCCCCCCACACATCTGGTCTGGCCCAAGGGGGTGATGCTCAGGGTACACTCACCCCCCGAACCAGCTGCCTCCCATCCCTTGCTGCCGGACAGGCAGCCCCTCTCCCAGTTACCTCCCGGAGCCAGCRGGGACAACTTTTCTGAAGCATCCGACCTCGTCTCACCCACCCTCCACACCAGGAGGCTGCAAACCAGCAGGACCAAGAGCTTCATGTAGGTCCTTGGATGGGGGGACCAGACCCCCAAGCTCCGGAGGGAGGACAGGGGAGAGCCGAGCCGCCCCGCAGCAGCCCCAGCTTTGGGGCGAGCTCGGCTGTGCGCTCCTGCGTGCATGTGTGTGTGTGTGTGTGTGTGTGTCTGGTTGCAGGATTTGATCCTATTCAGGACTCCAGACAGGCACCGCTGGGCAGCGGGAACAAAAGCTTGACGGGTGAGTAATAGCTCTGTCAAAACAGTTGCTCGCTGGAGCGAATGCGGCAGACAACTCCCGGGGCCCCGGGCTGCAGCCCCGCCGGGATGCCCCGCAGCGGGGTCAGCCCTCCGTGCTCTGCCCCAGCCCCGCTGCCGAGCCGGGGTCGGGCTCTGAGGGCAGCAGGAGCGGGGGTCGCAGGCAGCACCCACTTTGGGCACTGGGAGAGTGGGAGCCCAGGGGCTGGGGCAGCAAGGGGGCCCCTGCTGCCAGCCTTCCTCCTGCCCCATGAATTAAACATGCCGGGGAGGTAACGCACACCGCTGCGGGCACGGAGCCAAATACCCGCTCCGGAGAGCTGGGCAGCGTGGTTACAGGGTGGGAGGATGTGAGGGCTGGGGGCCGCCCAAGGGGGCCGTGTCTCAGCAGGCACCCGGGGTCGGGCAGGGGTCCCGGAGCCCAGGCTGCTCTCAGCAACCTGAGARCTCTGCTGCAGCACAGGTGCTCCCCTGGCACAGGGCAGAGATGTGGGCTTCAGACATCCCCACTCAGGATTCTGAAATGCAATTGGCAGGAGGAATTGGGAGCATCCTACCCACCAGCTGTCAGGGCTGAGCTGGATGTCAGCATAAATCCAGCTCTAAATGCTTCACTTCCTTCAGCCTGAGCCTAACCCTGACCCTGGTCTGCAACCTGGCACTAATGTTAATGCCAAACCAAATTCTCACGCAAGACCTCTTGCTAATATGGATCTGAACCATTTGCACTGATCCTAACACTAACATTAACCATAAAAAAAAAATCCCTGGGTTTAGCCCTAACCATGATTTTAATGGTAATCAAAACATTAAACTTAATGTAACTCCAAACTTTACCCTAATATTAACCCTAATCCTAACCTCAACTCTAATCCTCACCTCAATCCTAACCCTGACTTTAATCCTAAACCCAATCCTAACCTCATCTTTTGCCATAATGCTGACTCTAACATTATCGCTGACCCTAACGTTAATGTGGACCGTAACATCAACTGCACTCCAGCCCCAGGCTGCAGCAGAGCCCTGGGGTTTCCCTCTGAACTCCAGCCAAGGCTGGAGCAAAGCTGTGCTGTGTCCAGTGAGTCCRCAGCATTCCTGGGCTGCCCTTCCCGGCAGCCCCAGCCCCACTGGAGAGCTGAACCCCCGCACAGACCCCAAAGTCATCTTTTCTCCCAGGAGACTTTCCCAGGCTTAGCCAGCGCACGGGATTAGCCTCATCCTGCATCCCTGCGTGCCGGGGAGCCCCAGAGCTGGGACTGGCCGTGTGGTGAGCCCGGCACCGCCGGTACCACCGTAACTGCCGTGACAGCCACTGCCTGGTCCTARTATCTGCTGGCCCTGAGACATGAAAGGCCCCAAAGCCTCTGATGTGCAGAGAGGGGAAGGAGAKGAAGGGAAGGGAAGGGAGAGGCTAGCACCAGTGCCAAGGGGAAACTTTCCTACAGCTCGGCCTCAGCCAGGGGAAAAACCAACAAACACACAGGCACACGCTGCGGATAAATGCCAGCGAGTGCAAGAGCGCGGCTGTGAGCAGAAACGGACTGTCGGTGTCTTGCCCCTGTAGCCAGCTCCAGCGTGATGCTCCTCATYCCACTGCCTGCCTGGCTGGCCCTGGGCATCCTGCAGCTGCCCCTCAGCAGCTCTCAGGTAAGGACCTGCATTCCCTCCCCTCCAGACCCACAACAGACCTCTCACTGTGGGCTGCTCAGCACCTACCTCTCACCCCCCAGAGTGGGGGTACAGCATAGCCASAGCACCCCAGGGACTGCCAGGGTTATGGGGACAGTCATGGGACTTTTCCCCTGCAGCAGTGGAACGATGTTAAATGCACTCAGGGCATCCAGCTTCTCCACAGCATCCAAGTGCCAGAGCAGGACAGGGAGGTGGGAGCTGAGTCTGGAGCAGACAAGGAATCAGGGTCAGACCCCAGCCAGGATGGGAAGGGGCTCTGTCCAGGGCAGGACATCCAAAAACAACCCCAGAGATGCTGCTTGCTTGGAAGGGTCCTGCCGGGCTGTGGCAGGGTGGCAGGGGAACCCAGTRTGTGATTGGAGCGTCCCCTATTCCCCCAGGAATGCCTGAACAGGCAGCAGGCACTCAGCGTGGTGCGGCAGATGCAGAAGCTGCTGGTGGCACAGGAGGCTGCCCATCTGCGAGGCATGCGTGGGCTCCGGCACCAGCTTTCCCTCCTCCAGAGCCGCCTCCAGAGACCAGCCACCAAACGCAATGGTAACYCTGGCTGGTCACCAGCACGGGTGACATCCCCACGGGGCAGCTGCAACCCCTGGACCAATGCAAACAGCCTGGGCAAGGGACCCCCAGCTCCCTGTCAGGCTGGGGCTGGCTCCAGGCTGGCCATGTCTATCCCCACTCATGTCTGTCTGTCTGTCTGTCTGTCCACAGAGACCTGTCCGCAGCTGGCAGTGCCCCTGAACGGACGGATGCTGGGCCGGAGCCTGCGCGTGGGCCACGAGGTTCACTTTGTGTGCGACGCCGGCTTCCGGCTGCTGGGCTCGGAGACACGCGCCTGCCGGCACAACCGCACGTGGAGCGGCACCCAGCCCTTCTGCAGAAGTGAAGTGGAGYRGGGTTGGGATGCCACGGGCTCAGCRCTGCCTGCGGGTYCCTCTGTCACCCTGAGCTGCWGGGTTCCATTGCTCTSTCCGGAGGCTGCARTGGGCACCGGGATYGGGCGAGGATGCGCTTCTCCAGCCAGTGCTTACAAGCTCCTTCTCCCTAGGTATGGATGACTGCTCCAGCAACCCGTGTGCCAACAGTGGGACCTGTGTGGATGGCAACCAGAGCTACACATGCCTCTGCCCTCCAGGCTGGTCAGGCCCCAGCTGCCAGAGCCCCATCTACTCCTGTAGGTGCCTGGGTTTGTGCTATGGAGGATGGGGTTGCTTTGGGGAMAGTACCTGGCCATGCTGCTCCTGTCTCCCCCTTCCCTGGCAGCCCCCTGCAACCCTGGCACCCACCATCTCCCCATGTCCCAGCATGTGACACCTGCTGTCCCCTGCAGACTGGGTGACACTGAGCAACACCTCCTTCAGCCGCCAGCCCCGCTGTGCCGAGGGCCGCTCCGGCTCCCGGCGTTGCAGCTGTGACACCGGCTTCCAGCTGCGAGCTGGTGGTGTCTGCCAAGGTAAGAGGGGAATGAAGATGATGGAGGGGTGGGGAACCAAGGCTCGGGGGCAGCAGGACTTCTGGCCATTCCCCACTTGGTCCACCCTAGATGTGGATGAATGCCAGCTCTACCAGTCCAGCCCCCAGACGCGGATTTGCCTCCACGACTGCCTCAACCTTCCYGGCTCCTATCGCTGCCTCTGCCCCCCTGGCTACCTGCTCCACGCTGACCGCAATGCCTGCGAGGGTAAGAACCCAGGGTGCTGGGCAGGGAGCCTCCCATGGGAAAAGGGATGCAGTGGGGACAGCCCCCCTCACCCCATGTCACCACCACAGATGTGAATGAGTGTGCTGGGAAGCAGCACAACTGCACCCAGGGTGACCTCTGCATCAACACTTTTGGGGGCCACCGCTGTGTGCACCCCAAGTGCCCCCCACCACGCCACAACACCAGCTATATCAAGACTTCTGCTTTGTGAGTAGCATACTGCGCCTGGCTCAGGCTGTGTCATTCCCTGTTTCAAGGTTGCTGTGCCATGGGACTGACAGCAGGGCTGGAGATGCTGCCTTTGGCATGGGCTGTTTGCAGGGATAACAGGGCAGCTCCCTGAGAGCCAACACAGCACTGAGCAGTGGCACCCCTTCTCTCCTGGCAGCCAGTGCGAGAGGAACCCCTGCCCCATGGACAGCCGAGCCTGCCAGCTGGCTGCCAACTCCATCTCCTTCCACTACCTGCCGCTCCAGGCCAACCGCACCGTGCCCCGTGTCCTCTTCAAGATGTCCACCACCCGCTTCCTGGGTGACAGCCTGCGCTTCACCATCACGGGCGGCCGGGGCCAGGGCGTCTTCGCCGTGCGGCGCTCGGACCGGCAGACGGGAGAGCTGCTGCTCACCAGCCCTGTGGCAGGGCCAGCCACGTTGGAGGTGGAGCTGGAGATGAGCGAGTTCTCCCACAAAGTCCTCCTGGGCAAGCACATCTTCAAGGTCACAGCTTTTGTGTCTCCGTATGTGTTTTGATTCCCTTTGGAGGTAGGTGTGGGGCCATGTCAGAGTCTCTCCTGGGGAGCATTGGAGCAGGTTCAGCTCAGTGGTCCCAGTTTTTGTCCCATTGRAGATATCCCTCTCCCAAAATGCTTTCTGATAGCCACCACAGTAAAAACTGTGTCCCCAAAGGGAAAACCCTACGGGCAGTGGAAGGACCAGCCTGGAGGTGCCTGCCTCTGCCAGCTCTGCTCCCCTCTGCCCACATGGCACATGGAGGGGAAAGACAGGGTGAGCCAACAGCACTCGGCATGCAATTCAGCTTCTTGTATCTCGTAATCTCTAATAAAAGAAAGTTGGCTGTAGGAAAGGTGTCCTCCTCGCTCTGTGTCTTGTATTCCTGGGGCAAGGCTTCTGGGGACAGCTGGTGGCCCTGGCTAATGGCAGGGTCACCCTGCAGAGCTTGGGGTGCCASTAGAGCTACCAAACCCATCCAGGATCATGCAGTGTCCATGTCCCTTCCAGCACCACTGTTCCTGGGGGCCACGCTGARGAGTGCCCCAGCACAAAAATGAGAGATGGGCTGATGAGAGAATCACAGAATGGTTGGGGTTGGAAGGGATCATCCTGTGCCAAGCCCACTGCCATGGGCCAGGACAATTTCCAACATGCTGCCCTGCACATCCTGCACAGCCAAGGCTGTCCTCAGCCCCCTTTGCAGTATCTGGAAAGCACAGCAGGGCTCCCTGGCACTGGTGAGCAGGGGACAGTGACAGGGACTGTGCATCCTTATGTCCAGGAGACTTCCCTCTGCCCCAGCTCTGACAGGAGTGGATCTCATGGCTGATCAAAACTGCAGCTCCCCAGCTCGCCAAGCACAGAGCTGCTCCCCTGCACCCCACTGGAGGAGGCTGGGCTGCGGGAACAAGTGGGGTGCAGCCCCTACACCCCTTGGGCACCCCCTTCCACCGCCAGCACAGCCGGAGCCCTGAGCAGGGAGAGCAGCTGGGGTTGAAAAGGTGACGAGGGCCTTTGGGGACACTGAGCGAAGGACACGCCGCCTCCGGGACGCCCTTCACTGTGCACACAGAGCCCTTCTTAGGTGAGTGCCCGGCCGGTGATCCTCGCACAAAGCAGCCGCTGTGCGCAGACCGCGGGTGGCTCATAAAGAGCTCCTTATGCGCCGCCACCGGCACGGCCACCGCAGCCCAGCTCCTCATGACAGGGGGAAAAACCTCTCCAGGGGCAGCAAAATGTGAGCTGGGCTGGAGGRGAGGCAAGGCTGTGTCACCGAATGCCGCAGCTGGCCTGTGCCGACTGGGATGCAAACAGGGAACGCAAACTAGAGAATTATGGGTGAATATTCCTGCGCATGAGGTGTCCTAGCCAAAATGGACACCACAAAYGGGGTCTGCACAGGTTTTCTTCTACCCTTTAAACCTTCAGGTGTGACATGGCTGCACTAGTCACTGTCACCCATGTCAGGGACTGCTAATGACAGGAAATGTTTGGGAAGTTCACTATGAGAAGGACWTGGAGGTGTTGGAGTGTGTCCAGAGARGGRCAATGGRGCTGGGGAAGGGTCTGGAGCACAAGTCTGATGAGGAGGTGATGAGGGAACTGGGAAGGMTCAGCCTGGAGAAAACGAGGCTCAGGGGGGACCTTATCACTCTCTACAACTCCCTGACAAGAGGGTACAGCCAGGTGGGGGTCAGGCTCTTCTCCCAGGTAACAAGTGATAGGACAAGCAGAAATGGCCTCAATTTGTGCTGRTAGAGGTTTAAATTGGATATTAGGGGAAATTTCTTCACAGAAAGGGTTTYAAATCCATCAAATGCTGTGTTATCGCGTTTGGCCAGGGGTATCCTTTATCCTTCATCAATAAAGCAATCATTGTTTCCGTRTCCTTTACTTTGTTTTACTTAAGCACAAACCACTGCAAAGCCTCCAGTAAATAAAATTCAGTAAAATTCTGCAATCTCCTTACGTCACAGTGTAAATCTGAATATATAGATTAACAAAAATACTACACGTTCATCGCATAAAGACTGGTTGATATAACAGAGAACGGAATTTTCCGGGAGTGGGATGATTTCAGCTCACATCCAGCCTCCACCGCTGGCACACTGGGCATCTCCAGCCCCATCCATATGGAATGCCATCCCTTGGAAGGCTGAGGTTATATTGTAGGCAGGATTTCCCCAAGTGCGAGAGGACCCCACCACACCTGATACAGGACGAAACCCCGCTCCTCCCTCCCATATCCCGGCGGAACGATCGCGCCCGGCGCGGTTTGGCCCCTKCGCGCCGCCGTAGCCGTTGCCATGGCGACGGGCCCAGCGGCCCGAGGCCCGCTGTGGCGCCGGGAGCTGCCGTGGAGGCCTCAGCCGGGGTCCCGCGCCCTGCCTGGGCATGAGGCGGGGCCGGGGCCGCTGTCAACCGCTTCTGCGGGGAGAAGGTGAGGGATAGGAGGTGGTGGAGTGCGGGAGGGGTCTCCGCGTCTCTCCCCAGAGTGGCTGCCCGGGAGCCCGCTCACCCGGCCCGGCCCCTGGTGCCTGCGCGTGCGTTGCGGTGCCTCTTTCTGTCTCCCCTGACAGTGACTTCATGCCTTGTTTTCTATGTTCAGTGTTTTCTGGAGCTGGGTAGAAAGGTGTGCCGGGCACACCCACAGCGGGTTTTGTAACAGGTAGCCCAAAGTGATGCACGAGCAAGTTTTCAACAACCTAATGAGAAAAGGATTACATGATTGGTAATGATTCCTCATCAGGGATGAGCCTGTTGCCATGCAGCAACTTCAATGGTGAAGGCAGGCAGATACTGCTAATTAGTTTGAAGGGTGAAATTTGGAATTTTTTATTCCAGCCTGCCTGTTGATAAGACCGTGCTGATAAGCAAAAATGACATTCTCTGCTATTCTTACYCACTCCTCTACCAGTTGACCCAAAATKACATTCCCAGCCCTTTGCCTGGCASTGAAGGACTGTTGGCATACCAAGGTCATAATTGTCCTGCTYACTCTTTCAGCATGTTGCCATGCTTGCTGTTTTCTAATCCTATGGTGTTGTTCTGGCACTGCAACCATTATCAAAAATACCACAAATGACCCAGAGACCTTTTCCTTTGCTTTCATCACTCTCCTGTGCATGTTAATCAGACTAATTGAAGTTGTTTGTAATGTAGATGTTAATTTCACATTCTCTTTAGTTACTAAGGAAGGGTGGGAGTGGTGCAGAGGTACCTGGAGTCAGCTCAGGTCCAGCAGAGCTCCTTTGCTGGTTTTGTGATGCTGCTCCTGATCTACTGCCTGGTTTGTTCTCCCTGGTATTTGTTGCACTGCAGTTCTCCATGAAGCAGAATAGCCCAATTCTCTGTTGTTAGAAAATCCTCTCAGCTCCGTGGCAAGTGAAAAGCAGCAGCTAATAGTTCAACAAAATTGAAAAAAAAGGAGAAATCACTTCTAAACTCAGCAGTGTTTCTTCTCAGATGTGTCATCATTTTGGTCTCTCTAACCCTGTCCACCTGGGAGCATATCTCCAGCACCAGGCCTCAGTCACAGTACTTTGATACCACATCTTTTTGTTTTCCATTTTTGATTTCTCTAGATGAATATCTGCAATAAACCTAATAATAAGATAGCTCCAGAGGATTTGGGTGAAGCTGTCCCTGARGTGAAGGTCCAACGTGCTCGAAGAAATGGCTGGAGCTGGCCCCTGCACCTGTTCCAGATCATTGCCTGGCTGCTGTTCCTCTTCTTTGCACTGGTTGGCTTTGGAATCCTGGTTCCTCTCCTGCCCCGCCACTGGCTGCCTGCTGGTTATATCGTATCCTTGGATCCAGAGGAGARCATGGGCTGTTATAAACTATCACTGAGGGGTTTTAACAGTACTTACTAGCACAGAAAGCATAGGAAAAAAGCACCTGAGCCAGAATATTTTTCTGAACTATAACCTTCATCTTGATATTCTCCTGACTATAAAAAACAGTTGCTTTGAGATCCTCACTTTAGGTCACTGATGTTCTGTTTGTCTCCTTCATCACTCTCTATTAAGGTTACTGCCTTTGCTTCTGATTCTCTTGTGCTGCCTCCTTCTGCCCATGTGTCTCCTTTGCTTTATATTATTCTTCTACAAGTGCGCTGCAGGGTTTGAGGGAAGTCGTACTGAAAAAGACCCTTTTTAAACATCCTTGTTGCATTGGCAGCCCCACATCCCTGTGCTGACTGGATGAGTCATGAAAGGCAGCTTTACATGCTTGTGGTTGTGTAGGGGATTGCTTGTGATAGCTCACAGTGATGCTCTCCACAAGCCCTCTCTTGTCTTCAGCAGAAAATCTGGGAGTGACAGACAAGGTGGTGTGGTGTAGACCTCAGAGAAAAGGTCTGTTGTGGGACAGTCTTGAGCAGCAGTTTAGTACACATCTAACAAAGACAGTGAAGGGTCTAGAGGAGAAGCGGCTGAGGATATTTGGTTTGTTCAGCCTGAAGCAGTTGGGGAGTGATCCCAGCGCTCCCAGTACTCCCAGTGCTGCCTGTACTATCACCTGTACTGGTCCTCAAGACAAGGCCTTGTTCTGAAGAGATGGGATGTATACTTATGGCATTTATACATCTGTCTTATAGATGCCTCTAAGTCTTTGGTATGTTTGGGATGATTTTGCTTATGATTGTTTTAGCTACACCTGCATGATTTGGACATTAATGTAATTAGCTCAGTGGTCTTACATCTACTTAACTTGCTCARATCCTTGGTATCTACCAAATACCTTTGCAATGTAATCTAAAGTTACTCCTCATTCAAGAAATTAATATATACCAAGGTTTTACTTCCCATTAATAAAGCACTAATGTCTCTTTTCTGTCAAAGGCAAATCCCTTCCCATTCTGCTCCACCAGCCATCAGAGCTCCAGTGAGCTGGGCCTCTCAAAGGCCTCCTTTTTTAACTTGCTACACTGACCTTTTTTCCATAGGTCTTAGTATGATCAATGGTGTGCACATCTGGGTGTATAGAAACAYTGACAAATCCTGGATCCTGTCTGTAAATTGTGTAGGAGCCTACTTTAAAGGTGTGCTTMTCTTCCTTGGGATTCTGACTAAGGAAAAGGAAAGCAAGGTGATCAATACTACTTCCTTGAAGTGACTTTTTTTTTTTTTTTTTAATTTGRTCCTGTGAAAGGGTATGTGCACAWYACTAACCACACTCCTTTCCAAGGAGTCAGTATGAACTGAGAAAGTTGGACCTATGTCAGCAGGCAGTACTTGGGGTGAGATTCTGGTAAGTAACTACTAACCCTCAAAAACTCCCTGTGCTTGGAAGAACTTTTCTGTGAGGCAGAGTAGTACATAATGAGAAGGGATGTTCCTGTAGATTTGTTTTGGATTTTTTTTCTAGAGGATGTTTATTATAATACAATAAAGTCTGTAAAGTTCAGATTMATGTGCTGCAGTTATGTAACGATTTCTAATTCTAAGCCATATATTTCTCATCTGTGTGGGATTTGTGTATTAAGGATTAAAAGATACGTGTTAAATCCTTAACTGTACRCTTCAGTGTCCAGGAGTGTGTTTTATCTACCATTTAGTTGTTCATCTTACTGCAGTCTCCATTGATCCTGCAGATGCAAATGTGCGAGAAAAAAACTATCTGGGGCCTCTGGCCACATTCAACCGTAACCAGCATGCACATGTCATTGAAAACCATCACTGCCATGTCTGTGATGTAGATGTGTAAGTATCTTCTCTTCACTTTCTACTGCTCTGTCTTCTTCAGGGTTGCACTTCACCGTTAAATCATCAATGCCAGACTGTAAGATTTGAGATTAAGCCCCTGAAGTGCTATAGCACAAGTTAAGCTTCATCCTGTGGCAGGGTTCAGGGAGCTGGGTAGGGAAGCTTCTGCCAAATGTGTACAGGGTTTTGTGTTTTATTTCATTGCTCATGTTGCRTGGAGAGGGCTGTAGTGTTCCATGTTCCCCTGTTTGACCTAACAGTGTGTAACTACTGTGTGTGTGCTTRTTTCTGGCTGGACGCTGACCACTAGCAGGAAATGCTTGGAGGGCAGGCATTAATATCAAGCTCTGTAGAGCTGCTGGAGGGATTCAAATAAGAATTCARCAGTCTCCAAATTAAAAATAATGCAGTGCACTGAAAGGCGAATTTTGTAATGTTTGGGATTGTCCAACAATGGCAGATATGTTTGGGAGTTGAAGTACTCTTGATGCAGAAAGTTTTCTCTCTATTACCAGGATCTCTGCTGCTGTATCCCCGTGTCTGAGTCACTAAAATGTCCTAGTAGTGAGCTGGTGCTGCCACACTAATGCCASCCTTTCTTTGACAGGAGTGCCAAGTCAAAGCACTGTGGAACTTGCAACAAGTGTGTRTGTGGCTTTGATCATCACTGCAAATGGCTCAACAATTGTGTGGGAGAGAGGAATTACTGGTAAGAGCTTGGCATTGTGACAGAAGCACCACACTGCATCCATAATGTGGCTCCTTCTCTTTCCAAGGTTCTTCTGTATCTCAGTCCAGTCTATACTTAGCCACACAGAATCACTTCTCTTTTATCCCCTGGCTGAATAGAATCAGTCATGAGAAAACTAGATGGAAAATACGAGCATAATCATGACATCCAAATAACCAGGGATAAAATTCCTGTACTTAGAATGTTGTAGCTGAACATCTGTGAGTAAAACCAGAGAACATAGTCTTATTATYTGGTATTAGGAAAAGCTTGCAGGATGCTAATTGGGTGTCTTTAGTGCTTCTGAGAGCTGGAGTGGGARTGGAACCATGATGGTGCTCTTCCASTCTGAAACAATCTGCATTCAGATCACTGCTTTCTCTATGAGACTTGCCAGTTGGCAGGATTCACAGCAGCATATAGGGACCTCTAATCCATGCCAGGCTTCAGATAAGAGTAAGGAGACTATCAGTGATGCTTCTCAGTTTAATTTCCTGCACTAAAACCCCGTGGAAAGCAAAATGTTGTTGCCGGGTGCCACGTTACACTGCCTTCAGATTTTGTGCAGGGAGCTCTTTGTCCTAGATATACTTGACTGTTTTGGAACCATGGTTRCACTAAAGGGTCACAGTTTAGTCCCTCAGGGTAACAAAAAATAAGTAAAGCTGTTCACCAGTATCTATCATAAGTGTAAGAAAGCGTGACAGTGATTTGAGCTACCTCTCTCTATCTCCATCTYTATTAGAGGCTGGGATATTGAATTGTATGTGTGATGTTATTGAAGCCACTGAGACCTCTCTCCTTCCTGGCAGGCTCTTTYTGAATAGTGTGCTGTCTGCCATTCTGGGCCTGGGCCTTCTGCTGCTCGTCGCTTTCTACGTCTTTGTGGAGTTCTTCGTTGACCCCACAGTGCTTCGCTCTGACCAGCACTTCGATGGTACAGCAGTGCTTCAGATGACATCCTGGGAACCAGCCATATCTTAATGAGGGTTTGCATTCTGTGAGCTCTTCCACTAAGGAGAAACTCYATTCCTTACTACTTCAATTTTATATTTCTGTTAGAGTATCTCTACTCAGCTGGATGAGATTTCTTTCCTTACAGAGCTAAGAGCTCTTCCTAAAGGCCCTGCATGGACCAGATTTCTTAGGCCTCCAGCGCACAATGGGTCTGCAGCTGCTTTTGAGTTAACATTTCTAGCTGTAATATTTAGTTGGAGATATTTCATACCTGGACAATCTGCTTATCTCCAACTCTCTTTATTTTACAGCTCTGAGGAACCACMTGGACCGCTGGTTTGTGTTTCTTCCTGCAACTCCTGTTGAGACTCAGGCACCTGCCATTTTGATCACAGCTGGGATTTTTATTCTTCTGAGCCTGGTGACCATGATCCTGCTGGGCCACCTCTTGACCTTTCACATCTATCTCTGTAGGTGTTTTGTTCTGTCATCTGCACCCCATTCCATTTTTGCTTAGCTTCTACTCATCCTGCATTCACCGTGTGTTTGCCTGTGTCACTAATGCATGCCCATTGTGCAGGATTGGCATTGAAAATATACAAAATTGGGATTTAACCTCTTTCTGAGTTCCCCCCCAGTAGGAGGTAGGCTTATCAATGCACGTGTAATGTGGGGCTTGTGCTGGGCCTGTTGGGCAGTCATGTTTTAAACTATATTATCCTGAAACAGAAAGCACATGGAAGAGTATTGGAGAGGCCAGGTGAGATGAGCTGGTCCATCCCAGCTCAGTACCAGAGATGGCAGGTTCAGATTGACTCRGCATATGGACTTTGTGAGTCTCCTCACTGTGCTCCCCAGTACTTCTCTTGTGTGAGAGAGCCTGTTTCTCCCTTACCCCAGAAAAATATGGATATACCGAGCTAAATTTGATTGGAGCACTGACATCCAGATTAAGGTACCCCTATGGAAGTTGTACCATATTCATACAAGAAGACTTGTGGAATTCAGAGGAAGAGGCTTTCAGAAAGGCTCCTCTTTAGATCTACTGCTTGTTGCTCYGTCAAAAAGGGATATTTATGTTTGTTTATGTACAGATGGGCATCAAAAACTTTTTTCAGCCTTCGTCTAAAATTAAGCCAATGCTTTTTGGCTGCTGATGAAAGTCATGATAGGCAAAGACCTTACATTTGCAGTAGTTGGTGGTGCCAGAACTAAGAAAGAAGGTATGTGGTGGCAGAGAAGTTAGGACAGCGGTTACAGAGGATCCTTGGRTGGATTTTCAGGTTCTGGGTTAACAGACCTGCAGATGCCAACACAAACTAGGTCAGCACAAACCAGCATGGCTCCAGAAGGAAAACAGTTGCACTGTTGAAGTGTAGWGTTCGATAGGTGAGTGTTCCTCAGCTGGCATGGACTGTGCACTCAGTGAGGACACTGACCATCATTTTCCTTCTAGAGCCTCTTTGAGCTTGACTGAAATTTGGGCATGCAGCAATTTTACTTTCTTGGCAGAATTAACAGTTGGCTAATGTGTTAACGGCAATGCCTGGAGATTTAAAAGGTCAATCTAGCACTGCAGAAAGACAAAAAGCATAACAAAGCTGGGCCCACGCCAAGAAGGTTTCTTCTGGCTGAAAAAGGATTATTCAGTTTAGTCCTGAGTGATCTTTATCCTGTCATTGTGTAGAGCTTCCAGTAGAGGGTGCACCCTGCTTGAGATAGCGACCTGCTTTATCTGTCAGACAAGCTAGTTCTGCACTGGGCTTGGGGGAGCTTTTGCTGCTCTTATTTTTAGGTAATTATTTTTTCTCTTTCAGAATAAATTTCGACCCAAATTAACTTCTACTTTTGACCCAATTTTAAGTCTTTATTACTTACATGAAAACAGAATTGCTGCTAATTTTTTTTTTTACGTTTTATTTCATTATAATCTGCTGCCCTAATGAAACTGGTCCCAGCTGTGCAGGTTGTTGTGTGTAAGCCCTTGCTTTAAAGAGGGACTTTACCACACTGAAGCTTATACTGTTGCTACACATGAGTATGCATTGGAYTCACCACTGTATTTGCACTTATAACTGGATTTTGGGGAGATAGACTAAGTATCTGAACTTAAACTCCTCTTACTTCATACCTRTAATTGTCACTACTTTCCTCTGAATGCTTTAAGGTAGACAGTGTTGTAATGAACTGTCTGCCCCTCTTTTGGAACTAGAAATACACTTAAACCAATTCAAATGTAATTACTGTTGGTCAGTATTGCAGCATATACCTTTTTGGTTTTAAATAATTAAATTACAGAAATTAAATAGCCCCCCCTGTGAGTGATACTGCCCTTGGGCTTCCCATAAAAAATGGCTTAAGTCAGGTATGACTATGAAAATTTAGTATCTAATTTTTTTACAAGTACAGTGAAAAAATCAGTTATTTTCCTGATTTTTCAAACAAAAGGAAGGAGATATGTTATTCTCAAAATAGTAGGTCCATGTATTAAAAATTACTGGTCTTGAGTCAGRCTCAGTTCCAGAGGCATTTGGCAAAGCATGGCACTTCAAAGGCTTGGAGGGAGGATATATTTTTTCTTCAATATTGAGAGCCTGGTAGCAGAATAAAGAAAGAAATAGTAGGGAATATAGGAAAGCATATAGGGTTATTCACGGACTATGATTATATTTTTCATGTTATGTCTTGCAATGTTATCTGCCCAAAAATGCAGTATTTTAACTAAATAGCTCTATTAAAATATTTTATAAGTTACAYTCTTAAGTATTAAGAAACCAACAAACTCTAAATTTAAAATGGTTGATAGGCCTTTGCTTATGAAGCAATATTCTGTTTTTCAAAGAAAGCAAAGGGTGCCWTTCTAGGAGCACTTGCCAGCACCCTGCACTGTCCCTGTTAAGTAATCACTTGGCTGTAGACTCACATCCATCTCTGTGTTCTCTCTTCCTGGCCAAATGGATCCTTTTTATTTCTTCATAAGGTGATTGCTTTAGCAGAGGGGCACATCTCCTCTGCTTTCCCCCACTTCTCTGGGACRTAGCCCTGTGTTCAGGGCATGGTTGTGAGAGGTAAGGTATCACTGATACAAATGTCTTCAGGCAGAGGGAGGATTTCAGTCCAGATATCTCACATCCTAGGCATTTGCTTTAACTGCTGTGCTTCTGTAAAAAGGAGAAATGACTACCAGGCTGCGCATGAAAACCCTTCAGCATCCATTTCTGGGGTTTGTTCTCTAAAAATATGTATCATAACAAGGTTATTATGGGAGGAATGTCTGCGTTTTGGACCCTCATAAGATTTTGGGTCTCCTGAAGAGAACAAGTTGCTCAGAAATGTCACATGCTTTTGGTCATTCATGGAAGCAGATGTGTTTGCATGGGGGTCCTGGAGAGCTCATAAAGGGACAGGTGAACTCTGGGCACATCTGTCTGGCACGAGGCAAGCTGTGCATTTGATGCTCACTGGTTTGCACATTAAGTGTCTCAGTCACTACAGGACACACTAACCTGCTCAATTTCTTCTCTCCATTTAGCATCACATTCCTTCTGATTGCTCACTGAATTTTCTGTACAGTACAGGTCTTACTCCAGTTGGGCATGAATAATGGATTTGCACTGAAATGAACTGAACAAATTACTACACTATAGAAGGCTGTATCATTCTATGAGACTTAAGAATAACAGGACTATAAGAAAGCATTGTGATGTTGGCAATAAAGAATATAGTRGGATGGACAGTGCACAGAGACTTCYGGCATARATTATCAGATTCKTGGTGTTTATAGTTACTGTTTGATTGTATAGTTATCCAGACTGTTTGTATAAGTGCAATCAGGGAGTGGCCTTTCCTGTGCTGACAGGTCTCTTTCTTCCCTTTCAGTGTGGCACAAGCTGACTACGTACGAGTACATCCTGCAGCAGCGTCCCCAGCAAGGGCCAGACAAGGCAGACAAGAAACAGGAGTCTGCTTCTTCCCAAGTGAGACCCAGTCAGGTACTCATCCTAGTTTCATTTCTCCAAAACAGCATTGCTTGTCTGCAGTGTAAACTTTGTTTCACTTTCTTGAGCTCTCTATTTTAAAGGCAGTTGCTAGAGATAAGACTTCAGATGTACTTTGATGGAGTTGAGTAGGATGTGAGAGAGTGTGAGGCCTGTAATTCCATGAACACTTTAGGTATAAGCAAGTACTGCTTTCAAAGGAATCAATCTCACCCACTCTCTTCCTCCACCACTTGTTTTGGGCCCTGCACTATCTTGTCTCTTCTGCCAGCACAGCTGTTCATTAGGACAGGGTGGGGGAACTCATCTGAGTAACAATAAACTTTATTAAAAAAATAGTTGAGTTGGCCTGGCTCCCTCCCATTCGGTTCACCAARCAGTCACATAATTGCCTGGCTCAGCACGAATGAGGTTGACTGAAGAGTGGGAAGAATCCTGTCCCTGCAAAGGACAGAACCATATGTTTTGGGTGACACTGCACATCTTGGGGGCTTATGTGAGCAGTCATGACTTCAAGTGAGTCAGGCTCTAAGGCTGGAGAAACGGGGACTAATCACTGAGCAGCTAATAATTTAACCATCTTGAAAGTGAAAAGGACACCAGTTTTTCAGAAATTACTCAGATATCTGCTSTTCTTTGAAATGAGACTGTATAGTGGTAAGGGTTCTTGTTATTATAATGATGTTAATCTCTATCTCTGTAAAAAGAGTTCTACAACCTCTTAAATGCTACTAGACTTTGCAGAGGCAGATATATTGGGCTCTGAATTGAGAGGTTCAGTGTAATTTATTTTGCTACAAGGCAAAAAACATTATTGTATTAACTGAAATTTTGACTGGACACATTCTGTACTGACTTTAGCAGGGRATTGAACTAGGAACTTCAGAAATTCTTCCTGGTCTAAATTATTGTATGATTCCCAGTCATGTGTAACTTTTCGTTTTATGCAAGTAAGTTATCTACTATACAAATAGTTTATRTTTAATAATAAATTAATCAAATACAAGCTTCATCCAAGTGTTCTGTGTAGAGATACTGGGATCTCTCTGGATTCATCCATAGTTCTTCCCTATCAAAGCAAAGGGGAAAGTGAGCTCATTCAGTTTTGTGTAATATGAAGTCCCCAGCTTTTCATATATATTTTTTACTGTTTTGGAAAAGTTGAACTTTCAGTTTAAACAGAGGTTTCCATAACAACAAAAATATTTGGCACTTTGCTTCACAGAAYTTTGCTTACTATGAAAATTAAAACAATAATAAAGCATTAGCTCTAATAATCTAATTACTGAATTTTAATTGATACTGAAAATGTGTTTGAACAGGGATGGAYCTCATGTGTGTGTGCACATTTGGGATGTTGACATTCAGTGGTTTCTCCTGTCTGCACTGGCTTTTATCTAGATATGTGTGAATGTGGTTGATTTGAAGCAGCAAGCCTGGAAGGAGCAGGGTGAAAAGGAGTTTGGTGTTTCAGGACTGCTGTTAGTACCTTGGGGAGCAAGAAAGACTGGATGATGCCCAGTAACATTGTTAAGAAAAATGTTAACCCACCACATTTTCCTTGTTTCTTACATAGCAACCAGAGATAAACACAAACAAATAGATTGGAGTAGGAGGACACCAAGTGACTTGCCTTTTGTAAGCTGTGTTGAATGCAGCCTTCTTTAGCTTGAACACTGCAACCCTTTGTAATTGATCCAACGTGTTGTAAGCATAAAATGGAAATCATCCTCTTCCCACTTTTGTCTGAACTGTTCATTCATTTTAGGGACTAAGAAGAAGCATGCATTTCCCCTTTAATGCTTGTTTTTGAGCCTTATTCATGCTTGGGTGTTGGTTTTGGCTTCAGTTTTCCATGTTGGTCTGTGGTTAAGTCTTCRGCTGTGTTCAGGTTAAAGGATTCTTGTTCAGGATAAAGGATTCTTATGTTCTTGTAGGATCTACAAAGTAAAAGCCCTAATTTTGCACCTTGAAATGGTTCAGATATCACAAAAAAATACCAAAGAGTTGGACATACTGAGCCTTTGTCTCTATTACCATACCTAAAGTAGGATGTGCAAGTAACCATTTTTTCTGTAGTCATTTGCAGTCCAAAGAAATATAAACTAAACCAAACCCTATGCTTTAATGCATAATTGCATTCAGTCCAGGGAGCTGGCTTTCATATGAGGCCAGCTKGGATGTGATTCTTCTCACATTCCTAAAACTTTGAATTTGCTTTGGAAAGTGATTTAGGTTGGTGAGGTTTGATTTTAAGTAACAAACATAGGTTTTACTCAGTTTCCCTTATATTTTCAGTATTGTTTCTTTCCTCCAGTGTAAGATGAACTTCACTCTCAACCTCAGCACTTGCAACAGACTCACTTTCCCTGGAACAAGAATGCTTTTTTTCCTGTTTAGTTCTGCCTCTCCTCCTCAGACAGCACTTCAGGCTCTGCTGTCATTGAAGTGGCTGATAAGGGCAGCTACAKTGGGCAAGGGAACTGAATCCATCCTGGGCTTGTAACCATGGACCTTGGGGTGGCCACAGCAGGAATTTGGTCAATGAGTGGCATGAGGGTAGAACTTGGACAGTCTGTCARTCCAACAGTCTGCTTTGAGCAGGAGCAGCAGCTGAATCCTGACAACCCAGCTGCAAAGRGTGGCTTGTCTTGATGCTGCAGAGRAAGGATGCTGACTGTYCTGCTAATGCCTGYGAGMAGAGGGAGGCTTGGACTCTGTGCTGTGGCTGTAGTTTGTGTTGCACTGTGAGAGAACATTGTATTTTTTACTGATTGAATCTCATTTGTTTTTCCTAGTCAGCTCTAATGCTTTACTTTCATTTATGTGACTGCTTTGGTTCTACATTATTTATAGAAGGCTGAAATGAACAAAATGGATGTTAAAAGGCTCTTTCATTCCCTGCTTGGAAAGAAATTGTCCATGCTATTCTCAAGATGAGTCATTTATTAAGCTCCCTTGAAATGCCAGTCCTGCAGTCCTGTTTGTGTGCTGTGGACATTGAATCCTGATTGTTTTCAGTTATTCTGTAGAGTGGGATGTCTCCTGCTGCAGSTCATTTCAGCCACATCCTGCTTCCYTCTGAAAAGAGCTGCATCTCTGCCTGTACACTCACAGTGACACGACGCTGTCTGGTCTCATCCCTTGTGACTAAGGTGCATGAGGCCTGAATGTAAATCTTGATTGTAGATGTCCCCAGGGAGCTTTGAGGACATATTCATGCACACTTTGTGTTCAGTTGGTGATGAGTGATGATCTGATTTGAGTTACAAGTTCTGATTGAAATGCATGTAGTAAATTTCTGCGGATGGTTAATCTTGCACTTGGATAAATTTTTAAATCAGAAAGTTATGTTTGTGGTTGCTAAACCAATTCCCTTCAAATGTTACATTACCACCTATAAAATGGCTGAAATTATTTTCTTTTTTTTTTTTAATTTGCCTTTCATTTTTATTCCTAACATCTGAAATGATTTCTTGGCTGCCACTGAATGTGCAGCTCCATGGATTATTTTCTATTTCAGARACTGTTGCTTTATATATAAAGTTTGCACCACTTTTCCCACATGCTTCACTTTCCATCTTTACCTCTAGAAATATTGATTTTTTGTGCTATTTTATCAGCCTGTAATTCAATATTGCAAAGATCTTCCTCAGCTCTTTGTGGCTGGCTTTCATTTTCTTAATGCCTTACATCAGGGAGTGTCATCACCAGGCTCTTCTCTTTTGTTGATTGTTTATAATTTGTTGAAGTGCAGAGGCCCTGGATCTCTCAGGAACCCATTTGTGGCATGTCCAACTTTGACTTCATTTTCTCAAATTTGCTGATCAGACTGTTGAGAAAAATAGGTCTTCATGAGCTTGTTTAAGCTGTTTTTGAAGCTAATGCCTATCACATTTAAAATCCCTCCATCTTAACCTAAAAGTTACTTTAAAATATCTTTATAGTCACTGCACACTAAAACACTTATGAAGTTCTCTTGATGCTTATTCAAGTTKAAGAGCAGCTGATAAGTAGTGTCAAGGTTCTTCTGAGCATGGTTTGTCCTGTTGTGATAACAGGGCTTCATACCCTGCATCCTTTGGTATTCTGATCATCTTAACTGGGTGCTTTTGAGGGAGAACTGGAGTTCTTTCCTGTAATGCAGCACTTGCATTTAGGAGGCTTATTCTTATATCTTTCTGAAAATATGCAGTTTTCAAATTCAGCTGTCATTACTCTGAATTAATCTATACCTGAGGCAAATAAGCAATATATCACACTCCTTTTTAAAAATCAGCAGGTATTTGCCATACAGGTTTATACAAGAAACAAAAAAAAACATAAAGAAAACACTTTATGTTTTTCCTGTGTGTTTACATGCTTCCATCTTCCTCACCTCTATTTTGCATTTAAAAGACATTTTTTGCATTCACTGCGTAGCTCCTCAGATTGAACTGTGTAACTAATGGAAGCTTTAAGTGATATTTTGAACGTGGTCCCAAGAAATGACTAAGCTGATCCCTGTAAGTGTGATTTGGTTTTGAATCACAAGAAATACTGGCTGGACTAAATGAATGAATCAAGGACTTCTAGTTGTGCCAATCTTGGTTTTCCATCTTCTGAAGCAGCAGATTCTACCTGTAAGAACAAAAAATGTCTGGCATGAGGAAAAATAATACATCTTACATGTAATGAAATCCTCTTCTCCCCTCTGTGTTCTGATTAGTCTGAAAATGTTTGGTTGGTTGTTTTTTATTTGTCTTTTTCCCCAGGAAGCAGACTTATTGTCAGGTAATCCTGTCTATACTGACCCTGGAATTCAAGTAGAGGAATTCTCAACAGTAACTTCGGGAAAAAGGTGAGAAAAATCATGGATAAGATTCTCCCAGCAGCATATGTGGTAAATGGGAAATTGTCATTAAGGTCACTGATGGGCTGTAAGATGAAAGTACTTAAGAGGATGGGGAACACCAGTGTTTTGAGCAGCTGAGTGGTGAAATCTTTGAATTTCAGAAGGGTAAACACCTGCAGAAATACTTGACTTCCCTTCCCTGGGAAAGTATCATTCCTAGAATACTCTCTTAAATATTTTATATGAAACTGGTTTCTATTAATTGTTCTRTATTAAAATTCTTTAAGACTGCCTGATCTGTCCTGTTACTTCTATACTGAGCAAATTATAATTACATGATTTCAGGCTGTGGAGAGATGCATCACAGCAGTTACAAGTTTATAACACAGGCAAACCCTCAGGGGAAGGAAGTATCCTTGTCTCATAATCCTTTCCTGTTGACTTATGTCCCTGGGGATTTCCATCTTATTTTGCACAAGAGTGCAGAAAAAGTTCTGCAGTTTTGCTGAGAATGCTRTGTAAGGCAGGGGAGGCTGTGATCAGGCTGGTGTGCACATGCAAGCAAAGAGGGCATCAGGATTAAGTTCTGTCTTAGGGAATCAACTTGTGTGTCTGCTGTGTTTTTAGCTTTCCAAAGCACCAAGAAAGCAACTCCAAGCAAAGCTCATCCCCTCAGCCTCCATCTCCTCACTCTGCAACCCCTTCTCAGGTAAGGAGGATTTGCCACACACCCAACCTGCTGCTGCCAACCCACCCAGATGCCCWGGCATGCCCTAGAGCAGGCTGTGCTTACCCACTGCTCACACAGGCTCTGCCTCCCCTCAGTTTGTGTCTGCAGGTGTGACTGTGCCCTGCAGCCACCAAATCCAGGTGATGTTCTCCTGTCTCCAGTCACAGGCATGATCAGAGCTATCCTGCAGTCTCCTCATAACTCACAGCTGTAACACAGCTGTAACCTAATGCCTTTCTGCCCCAGTGCAGCTCACTCACTCTGGCTGCACCGCTTTGTTGATGTAACAAGCTCTGCATGTTTCTATAGAGCAAAATCCATCAGTTTATATGTTCCAGTAAAGCACCAGGGAAAGATGGTGTGTGTGGATATGGTGCTTGAGCATACGGCACAGCTCTCCAAAGACTTGGGCTGGGCTCCTGGTATTCAGGTATCTGCATCCAGATGCTCTCCCCTCTTGCTCAAATGGCAGGTGGTGGTGCTTTTCCCTTTTCCTCCAAGCTTATTAATCAAAGTCTTGCCATCTAGATGGCAAAAAATCATCCTTTTCCTCTATACTGTGCTGGGTATGAGCACTGTCCCTTTCTTGGGACATCCTGTGCTATGCGAGTTTTGGTGCCCTCTTCTAGTTTGACTTTACAAATGCAAGCGACCAGTCTCTTACATCCCTCAGCTCTGTGAGACAGCAGCTTAAAGGTACCTGCACACAAAGAGTCACTGTATGCAGATAGTTTGTGTGTGTCTGTTCAAGAAACACCCATTCTCTATCAGTTCTTCATAGTAACTCAGTCCTAAACAAGAAAATATTCTTAGACTTTGGTTATACCTGATACTCACAAAGCAGGAAGAATTAAAATGAGGTAGSAAGTAAAAGGACTGTCTCATTATTTTGGGCTGGTGAAATAACTTCCCTTCTCTTGGGCCACTTGTTTTCACAGCAACAGAAGAAAAGAAGAAAGAAGATGCAGAAGGCTTCTTCAGCAATGGACAGTGGATCTAAAGTACCTGCTACACCTTGGCCCTCCTTCCCAGATCCCCAGTCAGGTGAGAGTGCACCAGTGAGCTTCTCTGCTGCATTTTGTATAAATATGTGTATGATTTGCTTTAACACTAGAGGATCAGCCATTGCAGAGTTCCTGGGCTTGTTGATATCTTTGTGGGGCTGAGATCTCTCTCTCCCCTTAAGCTTTCTTCTGCCTTTATTTCCATCTGCAGAGTTCCCAACCAYGGTTGCTGCCACCTCACCTTCCCACAGCCTTCACCTCTTAGTGCCAGCTTTTCCTCTGAGAGCTGCTGTGCCCCCCAGCAGCATGGGCCTCATCCAGGCAGCAGGACCCCCAGCTGACTATCACTCAGAGTCTGCTGAGTCCATGGATGAGATTCCCTTGGCTCAGACTCGCCTTGGCAGCACAGGCCTTCAGGGGCCTCCTAGGAATAATTCAAGCAACTCTCAACATTATCCCTTGTCCACAGACAATCCCAGAGGACTCAGGAAGAAGAATCTGTATTCAGAGCACAAGGTAAAAAGGAGAAGCTGCCAGCAGGACAGACATGTGGAACGAGATCTGGAACTTTTTTGTAAGACTCCTGATGTGTTTGTAAGTAAGAGCAGTGGAGAACCTCTTGTCCCTCAGCCCCAGCCCAGTGAGAGCACATCCGAGCCTGACCACAGAAAATGCACCAGCAAGCAGCATGTGGGCACACATGATCCATGCTCAAAGGAAATAAGGACGAGCACCACAGCAGCCTAGGGATCATCATTCCAAAGCCTTGGCCTTTGGGAGCAGCGTTGGTGCTGTGTGGAGGCCTATGGGACTCACCCCTCACTGCATGTGCTGTCAGGCTGCAGTGGGACATTTCTCATCCTCGACCAAAGGCAAGAGGCTGCAAGGTGGCAAACCTGAGGTAGACTTGTTGCTCAAGAGAGCTCATGAGCTTTCCCTGGGAAAGGGCCAGCCCCATCTGGCCCTCTGCACACTGGTACTGGAGTGACTTCCCAGGAGAGTGAGTGTATGRGGAAGAACAAGGCTGCACTTCTGCCATTCCCTGCACCCTGAAAGCTGTACTGCCCATCTGCCTATATCCTGTCAGTCTTTGGATCATGCTCAGGGGCTTCAGCAGGTGGTCAGGGAGTACCTCAGGATTGCCCCATCCCTATACYGCTTTCCACTGTGCGTCCTCAAGCCAAGTCCTCCACCAGCATGTTCTCTGTATGTGGCAGCATAGTTTGACCTGCYTCCCCTTCCCAGCAATCTGGGGTGTCCCACACTGCAGCGTTCTCATCAGAAGTTTTGGATACAGCAGGTCCTGAAACCTTTCCAATTCCTGGGCTGCCAGTCCACAGCCAAGCCTGGGGTGTGTGTAGTGCAGGAAAATCCCACGGCAGACAGTGAGGCACATGGCCAGTGCCTCGAGCCACAGCACMCTGTGCTGGGGGTGAGCTGCAGAGAGCTGTCTGGGCTGCCATCCTACAGCACCTGTGCTCTCCCTGCCCTCGTGGCTTCCCCAGGCAGCATGCCCTGTTCCACATCCCTGGCTGAGGGCTGAGGCTAGGCTTCCAGCAAGCCCAGATCTGCCTAGCAGCCAGCTAATCTCAGAGCCCAGATAGCAGCTACACACACATCTCCATGGGCTTTGCCACCGGCTGTGACAGACACATGGCTGTGTCTGACGGGATTTGGCACAGCCCTGAACAGCAGCACTGGCATGGCTGGATGCACATTTCCAGACAAATCCCCAGCACAGCACACTGCTGTGAACAAACAGGTGTGCCAGGGAAGGAAAGGAAGCCAGGGGAGTCTTCATCACCCTTCCAAATGCTTTATTGCATGGAAAGCACAACTGACCTTTCCCAGGCTGCGATGTGTTCAGGTTAGGGAAGGACAGGACAAAGCAGGGTGCTCTGAGAGTCAAGCTAAGCTGTTCACCCCTTGTCTAGCTCAGCCTGTGAGCATTCCTTGGAACTGGGCCAGAGCAGGACAGGGGATCTGGGGACAAAGGCTCTTTGGGCACAGCCAATACAGGACAGGCAGACTGGACTCCCAGCCTTGATGGGAGAGACTGGCCTCAGGAGAAAGATTTGGAGGTGTTTTAAAGGGCTGCCTTATCACTCTTTTGTCTGATTTTTGCTTCCTGAAGGAACTGGGATGAAAAGCTTTGACTCTTCATCAAGCTACACARTCTGTTGATCAGTAAAAGTGAAGTTTCACATAGCTGTTGAAGTCATTTKATCTCAGTTTGCAGGATGGGCTGGCCTGTGGTCACACTCCTTGCAGCTTCCCTGGCTGCTGTGGCCAGTGGTACCCGCTGGCAGCATGACCCTTTGGAAAAGCAGGTGAGTGTGGACCAGCAGATGGCAATGGGTGTCTGCAGAGACCASGGCATTCCTCACCAATGGGTCCCAGTTAGAGAAAGTCCTTCCTGGTGTTTCTCCTCATGTCCGCTGTTATCCAAGGAAACTACATCCTGCAGCAATGCTGRGCTTACAGTTTTCCAAGGTCAGCTGTCCCTCCACCAGAAAGCATTGGTAATTTCTCTGCAGCAGGTGCCCCTGAGCAGACCTTGTGTGTTTTCTTACRCTGTCCATGCAGAATCAATCCCAAAATCTCATATGGATCTCTTTAGTAGCTCTGGCCACAATAAAATTTTCTATATTCTTTGCTAAATAGTTTCCTCCTTTTTTTTTGCAGCCATTGCTGACTCTGCYCAGTCAATGATGCCCAGGCTCTTTGGTTCATTTCTCCCTGAGCCTCTGGAGTTCCAGCAGGGCTCAGCACTGTAATTGGTGTGGGGGTGACAACAGTCCCCTCTCCAGAGGGTCTTTTGGGTGGGGGTGTCTTCCCTGAGGGGTAGGGACCAGACCACCTTCTCCCTGAGCTGTGTAACCCAGGCTGGTTTCTGTGCTGGAGCAGGGTGAGCACCAGAGGGAGGAGGCCCAACATTCTGCAGAGAGGCTGCTGTGCTCTTTGGGCTGAGGGGAACTGGGTTTCCTGGACTACCGGAAGTCCAGGGAAAGAAAGGTCAGTCATGTCCTGAAATTCCAAGTTTTGGGCTCAAGATGGGAGAGGAGTTTTCTGGGACAGGACCCTCTCCAGGTGCCTGGGGATCAACCTGAGGTTCAGCATTTAGTCCTCCCCCCTTTCCAGGCTGTGCTCATGTGCCCATGTGCATGTTCAGGTGCCAGTGGCAGTGGTTCTGCAGCTCTGCATGAGGAAGGTCCATAGCAGASGTGTGGCAGTAAGCAAAAAGAATGAATCACATTGGGGTGCTGCTGCAGAGTCCAGCGTGTGGGCWGAGCAGTCCTGGGCTCAATGCCAGAGGGTTGCAATGACCACAAGCTGCAGCCCAAGACCCTAAGAGAGCTGAGTTAAGGTCCTGACAGCAGAAGCCTTGATGTCTTCAGCTCCCCATTACTGCAGATACATTGTGGTCTGRCATACCCAAGCATCTTCTCCAGCACTAAATAAAAGGTTTGTGCCAGGGCGTTTAGTCGCCCATCATCTGGAGGCAGCGCCCTGGACCAGCTGTTTCCACCACAAGACACTGTGGCTTTCTCTCAGGAAGAAGCAATGGTTTGCAGGGTGACAGCTTTCCAGAGTCCTCTAAAATCCTGTCACAGTCCCTGGCCACTGCCTGGAGCTGTGCCAGGCCCCGTGGTGCCTGCTCCAAGCCTCCGCCTTGGCATGGGATGCACGTTGTGCTTATTTTCATCTTTRAGCCTGGCTCAGGTCTCTTTGTTTCCTCTTTGGAGTCAAGGGGACCTTCCTTTGAATCATGATTTTGTGTGAGACTGTTCTGTGCTGCTTTTGACACGTCCCGAGAGCATCTCAATGAGCTGCCTTGAGTTGCAGGGCGGGGGAAAGGAAGTCCCTGCCAGAGGACGGAGCTTTCCCCCCGTTCCTGTGCCCGGTGCCGTGCATGGCATGACCGCATCTCGTGCTCGGTGGCACACCCGGCACGGACACCGCAAGCCCCCGTCCCCGATCGGGCGCTCAGCAGCCGCAGCTAAGCCCCGCTAATGTCTTGTGGACACGCGGTTGCTGTGGTGACGGTGTACATATTGCACAACCTCCGAAACACTTCCCTCTGTTTTGTAGCAACTCGCGCTAGAGAAGCGGCGTTCCCGCATAACCTCATCCCACCCCAGACGCGGCCGAGCCAGCGACTCATTCCTGAAACGGGATGACTCCCGGGAGGCTGCGGTGCCCAGCCTCGGGGGAGGCGAGGGGCAAAGAGGATGAGGGTGAGCACAGAGGGTGCTCTGATGTTGTGCACGTTCCCTCGTGCGAGCTCTGAGCTGCACCCTGAGCAGTCACAGCGCTCCGGACTCTGTGTGAGGCTGGGGAGAGGGAGGCAGWCCTGGGAGGAACCAGCTCAGCAGCCGAAGCTGCACCTCGGGGATGCAGCTGCGYGTGAGCCTCGGTGTGTCTGGGTGAGTGCTGGAGTGTTCGGCTCATTTAGSTCCCTGGGGCAGGAGACAGCCTGGGAACATYCTGACCTTGATCAGGAGGGAAAGCTCCCTGGGGAGCCGAGCGCTGAGCGTTGTGCATGCTCCTCCACCACATCACAGGACCTGTGCAACCTCACTCTCAATTCCTGCCCGTCCCGTGGGCTCCGGACCAAGTCACAGCCTCCTCCCGGGCTTCCTTTTCCGGGCTGCATCAGGAACAGCGGGAGCCGGCCAAGGACCATGCTCCATCCCAACAGGGCTGTCATGGTGACAACAAACGCACAACAAACCCCAGCCCTTAGGAACCGAAACCTGACCTGCTCAACCCGACCCCGTGGGCAGCTCACCAGCCCGAACCCGGCTCTCCCCGTGTGCCATCGCTAGGCTCTTTGCGCTCTGCGGCCCCAGGACCAGCTGGAGCTCCGACAGAAGAGCTGCAGACAGAAATGCTCAGCTCCTCCTGCACCTGCTGCCGGCTCGGAGGATCCCGGCTGCCACGCTGCCACCGCTGCCAAGTCCTGCAGGGTGCTCCCGCCAGCATTACCTGGCTCCTCTTGGGAACTGTCAGCTGGGAGCAGAGCCAAAGACACCTGCCTTGGTGGGGAGCTGCAGGGCAAGATGAGGATGAGACTGTACCTTCATCAAGACTTAACCACCCTCCTCGATGTGGCAGTCACAGTTACTCCCCACTCCTTAAGGCGAAGGGAAGGGAAGGTGACAGTTCTTCCTCACTTTCTGCAGGTGGGATAGCACCCCTGGGTCCTTGCTGGCCTGCATGGAGGCTGGCTTCAATTCCCACTTCWCAGCCAAGCACTGTCACCTCTGATCCTCTGCACTTTAGGACCTGTTTTCATATGGGACCTGCTTTCATATCGCATGAGGAGCAGGAAGTCTGTGTGATCAGGAGAGTCCTCCAGATGCCACCTACCCCGTGCAGTTCCCAGGCTCTCTGACCATGTCTGAGCTCTGCCAGGACAAACTGGAGTGAGGAAAAACACTGATTGGAGAGATCTWTCTGGACTCTGGCATCAGACGAGCCTCCACACCTATCCCTCCCACCCTGGCCTGTCCCCTGCAGGATGTCCTGGCCACCTTGATTCTGGCTGGGCTGTGAAAGAGCAGCACCTGTGTAGCCCCCTATGAGGTTGGGGACATAACAAAGGGGTTCTTCACGTGTCTGAGCAGCTGAGCTGCCCAAAGTGGTCAGGTGCTGTGACACACCAGTGGTCTCTGGCACCAGCCCTGGCACTCACTGAGTGGGAGGTGAAGTTAATGATCCCAACCTCCCAGAGCTGCCTGTGGTTACTTCTGGAGGTTTCCAGACCCTTTTTTCAAGAGAGAATCAGTGTGAGTGGGCTGCTCGTGGCTTTGTCCAGTCAAGAACTGGTAACAATGTCCCAGGAGAGAACAGGTCCACTCAGCCAGAAGAGGGAGATTGTCACTGGGTCTGTGTCCCACAGCAAAAGGCTCTGGGTGCACAAGCAGAACTGATACCCCGGGACAGCTCAGCCATGAGGACACCTGTGTCTGTCCTTAACCTGCAGCTTCTGTGCACAGARCCAGGGCTGACAGACCACAGGGTGCCCAAGACTGTTGTTTGAGCCACTTGCCAGTTCCCAAAGGTGTTGATTTGCCCACAGCACCCCCATGGCAGCAGCAAACTGCGCTCTGTGTGTCCTGGCTGGGCACAGCTCCTGCTGAGGCTGCAGCTGCTGATCCACGATGCCCTGCGCCCACCGGAGCGATGCCAGCAGAGCACCGGGATCAAAGCGGGCTGTGGGCAAACAGCTGAGGTGGGGCAGTGAGTAAGGGATGTGGGCTGTCTTGGGGCTCCATGACAACCACAATATTTGGGTGCTGCCTCAGCTCGTGGCACCCACTGGGAGCCCTGCGTGTGGTCGTGCTCCGGGCTGCCAGGGTGGGCATTGCCTGCTCCAGAGAGTCCCACTGGGCCACAGGGGCTCAGCACAGTCCCTGTGAGCACAGAATGGCTGGCGCTGTCCCCTCAGCATGGACAATGGCCTCGCTCCCTGGTGTCACCCACAATTCCTCCATGGAGGGAAACGGTGGTGGTGTGGGACAGGAGAAAGGGCTGTAGGGTAACAAAGGGGTGATAAAGGGACCTTGTGAATCAGCGCTGGGGCTTTGTAGGGTGATGGAGAGATCTTGTGGGGTGTAGGAAAGACTTTGTCAGGTGCCGGTAGGGTCTCGTGGGGAAGCAGAGAGGCTTCATGGGGTGCGGAGGGTGTCCCAGAGGTGGTCCGGGTCCGCTGCCCGGGCTCCATGTCCCCGCCCCGAGGGCGCTCCCGCCGTGCCGYGGCCCGGGGGAGGCGGGCGGGGGCGGCCCGGCCCCTCCCGTCACCATGGCGGCGCCTTAAACAGGCGGCAAGAGCCGCCCCCGCCCGCCTCAGAGCGCGGCGCCGGGAGGTGAGCGAGTGACCGGAGGTGAGTGACCGAGCGGGGGGTGAGTGACCGAGCGACCGACCGGGACCCCCCGCACCCTCGGCYCCTCCGGTGCAGTCCCGGTGCGTCCCGCGGCCGCTGCACGGAGACGGGGGACAGCGGGAGGCGGGCGGGGGTCACGCTTGCCCCGGCATCCCGCAGCCACCGGCAGTGACCTCCAGCCAGGCGGGGAGAGCCCCGGCTGCGAGCTGCGGGACCGTGCGGGCCCGGGGCGGCGGGAGCCCGCGGGAGCGCGGGGCCGGGAGGCGACCGGCGGCATCCCCGCCCCGCCGCGCCTCCTTGGCGACGGTCGCCAGGCAACGCCCATCCTCCCTAGCGACGGTCCCAGGGACCACTCCCTGCCCTCGCCGAGGCTCCGGGGGCCCATCCCGGGCGCTCTCACCCGAGCACCCACCGGGCCAGGTGCCCGCTCTGTATCTCGGGGTGTCCCAAACCCCGCTGGGTGCTGGAGCTCCCCCGGGTACGGCCACGCCCGCTCCTGCCCGAGATGCCGCGGGTTCTCGGTGCGTGCTGAGGGATGTTGAGCAGGCAGGGCGAGGCTGCCGAGGCGACGGCAGGCGGGGAGCGGGGACGGGGCAGCAGCAACAGTGCCACCACAGGGTGCAGAGACCTGTTGGCAACTTGGCACCCTGCAGGGCATCGCGCTYGGCCCGGCCCTGGGGGCAGGTCATGGGCTGGGGTGCCGCCAGCTCCGCGCAGGGGGACGCAGGATGGGGAGAGGTGGGGCTGAAGGCAGGCGGCGGTGCCGGTTCTCCGGATCGAGAGCGGGAGGAAGGCGGACGCATTGCGTCATTCCCGGAGAGCGCTCCCGAGGGGAAAGGCTGATGCACTCACTCCCCGCCAGCCCCGGAGCCGACAGCCTCGCTGCTGACAGCTCTCGACCAGGAGCCTCCATTCCCCACGACGCGTTCTTGGCTTTGGGCCTCGGGGCTCATCCGAGGCTGCCGTCAGTCCTCACCCCACGCCCGCAGGCGCTGCCAACACCCCGATCCTGCTGCAGAGCCTCCACCCTCGCCAGCCTTCCTCCTCCTCCTCCTGCCCTCGAGGGCCTGCGAGCAGCCAGCTGAGCTGTGCCGTGCAGCCAGCAGGAGCCCTGGTGTGACGGGCCCGTCTGCCCCTGTCCTGCAGCCATGGCTGAGAACTCAGAGATGGCATCCCTGGAAGAGAGCTTCCGCAAATTCGCCATCTACGGTGACACCAAAGCCACGGGGCAGGAGATGAATGGGAAGAACTGGGCTAAGCTGTGCAAAGACTGCAAAGTCACMGACGGCAAAAGCGTCACCAGCACCGACGTGGACATTGTCTTCTCCAAGGTGAAGTAAGTGACTTGGATTTTCAGGGCCTCGAGGCTCCAGGAGGGTGGGGATGGCTTTACAGAGTGGGCAGGGTGGCAGTGTGCGGGTGTGGGGGTCCCCACAGAGTTCAGCTGCCCCTGCTGTACCCGAGCTGTCCACCCTGCTTGTCATGGAGCTGCGGGCCCTGTCCTGTGGTGTCCCCWCCTTCAGGACATGTGGCTGCTTCTGCAAGATCTAATAATAAATTAACCCAAWTTTGGGGCTGGGTGGCTCAGGTTTGGTGCAGAGATTGTGCCCCTGCTCCCACTCCAGGTGTTGGGGTGGGCCTGGTTGGCTCTGCTGGGCTCCATCACTCCAGAAGGTGCCACAGGGAGCAGAGGRRGRTGCTCAGGGTTGTCCCWTGTGATGGGACCCCACCCTGGGCCTGGCCAGCCAGAGCCCAAGCTTGAAGAGGACTGTGGTCCTTGGAGGTCACAGGGGCAGCTTGAAGGGCTAAAAGGCACCTGGAACTGCTTTTAAGGTCCCTGGGGACACAGTGACATTCATGCCCCGCACCAGGGTGCAGGAGCAAGGATGGGTGGAGAACCTGCTCCAGGCATTCCCTTCCTCCTGGGTTGGGTCAGGAGGAGCTGAGCACCGGGAGGTTTTTGGGGTGCAGGAGGGCAGGTTGCTGTGCTGCCCCAGAGATGAGGACCAGGAGCTCAGGGAAGGCATGCTGCATGCACATCCTTCCAAATGTGCCTGGAGGATTGATCCCTCCCGGGAGAGAGAGGGTGCTGGGCAGCCCAGGCAGTTGGGCGGAGTGGGAATGGAAGCACAGCCCCTCCTGACATCTCACCAAGTCCTAGAGCACTTCCATGCACCCTGGATTTTGGTAACAGGGAYTTCAACAGCACCAGCTGTGCCCAGCCCAACCCACTCAGCTGTGGCTGAATTTCAGAGAGGGGTGAGGGGCCTGAGGCCCGTACAGGACAAAGGCGGGGTCTCTCTCATCTCATTTGGAGGCGTGAGCCAAAAACATGGCCTGAGTTTTTGTGCTTGCAGAGGGAAGACAGCCCGTGTCATCAACTACGAGGAGTTCAAGAAGGCACTGGAGGAGCTGGCCCCCAAGAGGTTTAAGGACAAGAGCAAAGAGGAGGCGTTTGAAGCCATCTGCCAGCTGGTGGCAGGGAAGGAGCCCATTAACGTGGGCGTCACGGTGAGTGAGGAGCCCCTCGGCTGCTGGGAGCAGGACTGATGGTCAGGAGGGGAGGATGGAGCTCTGCCCACAGGGCAGGTGCTTTCCAGGAAGCCCCTGRTGGCCCTGGGTGGGTGAAGAGACCTGGGGACAGGCACAGCATCAGGCACAGGGAGCACAGCAGGGCCTTCAGTGGGTGCCAGGAGCTTGTGTGGGGCAAAGGATGGAACCTGTGCAGGAAGGGGATGGAGAATCTTCTTGACTCCCTCGTCCCATCTCCCCGCTGCAGAAAGCCAAGACAGTGGGAGCCGTGGAGAGGCTGACGGACACCTCCAAGTACACGGGCTCCCACAAGGAGCGCTTCGACGAGAGCGGCAAGGGCAAGGGCAAGAGCGGCCGGGAGAACATCGTGGACACGAGCGGCTACGTCAGCGCCTACAAGAACGCGGGCACYTACGACGCCAAAGTCAAAAAGTAGGGACGGGTGCCCGTGGCGCCACCGCCCCGGTCCCTGCTCGCCGGCCGTGGGGTCGGTGCTCGCCTCAGCCCCGGGTGGTGCCCGTGACGGGGCCCGGGAGGCTGCGCTGGCAGCCCAGGCTGGCGGGTGTCGCTGCCCGGGGCTGGCGGCTTTGGGGAAGTGCCGGGCAGCGTGCTCTGCCCCAGCGCTGCGTGCTGTGATCCCTGTCCCTCCCGTGTCCCTCCCGTGTCCCTCCCGTGTCCCCCGGCTGTCACCCCCGGCCCACACCGTACTAACAGCGCTGCTCCTCAGGGCTCCCCCACCCCGCCGGCACCCACACCTTCCCTACCTCAGCCCCGGCTTCGGGGCACCCTCCCTTGTCCCACGGGGACCGCAGCCTGTCCTCCCCTCCCGGGGGGCTGCCTTAACCCCGCACCAGTCTCACCACAGCCGCCTCCTTCCTTCCCCCCGGTGCCCTCGGGTCTGCCTGGCTCTGCCCTTGCCCAGCACCGCGGGCGGCTCAGATCGTGCGGTGCCGGCGGTGCCGGGATGCTCCTGGCCCAGCCCCGGGATGCTTCCCGGGAGAGTTTGGTGTTGCTTGGCCACCGGCAAAGGTCCCCGACCTGAATCCCCGTGGCCTCCCGCTGCCTTCGTGAAGCCCAAACCAAAGGATGCTGCAGACCCACGCTGTAACCCGGCTCTGCAATAAACCCCGTCCGCACTGACCTCCGCTCTGGTTGTGTTCATGGCCCGAGCAGCCCCTSTGGCCGCTCGCCCGGCCGGACAGAGGGGGCTCGGCCGGCCACGCCGCCCAGGGCAGCTGTGCCGGGGGCTCGGCCCTGGCCACCGAGGATTTTGGCAGCTCCTGGCTGGCCCCGAGTTGCCGGAGCAACCGCAGGCACACAAACACGARCGCCTGGCTCCCACTCCCGCTCTGTTTGCAACCAAACACACGAGCTCCTGGTAACGATCCCTGGGAACAGGCTGGGCTCCAGGATGGGACGGCAGCTCCGGGATGGGATGGTCACTCCGGCGGGTGCATGAAAATGGGTGTAGGCTCTGTGACCCCGATCCCAGGCGTGGGCTGAGCCTACCGCGGTGCTGTGGGGTGGCAGTGCCAGGAGCTGCAGCTGCATATCCCCCTCCGCGGTCACCCATTCGGAGCCAGGCACCCTAAATAGCCAACTGGGGTTATTTGCAGGTGCCTCAGCTGTGGCACCGACACTGCTCAGGCTGTGAGGGAAGGGCCAGGGGCACACACGGGGCTTGCACAGACTCACTCACTGCCAAAGCACAGCACTCCCCCTCTGCATCCCAGACACCTGCCTTGGCAAACACACGAGAAGGAAGAGGCTGGAAGTTGTCTCATTCCGGGCTGGATTCAGCTCCATCCTCAGTGAGGGGCTGCCAGTGCTGGGCTGTGGTGAGGGCTGGGGATATCAGCTCTCCTTTCTCCTTRGAGCAGGTCAGAGCGAGTTTGTGGCTGTCTATCCCTGAATGCTCTTTCTGAGCATCCAATGTTCCTAAAAAAAATGTTGCTTATGAGGAGAAAGGAGGAAGACTTTAACCCTTTGCTGACTCCATTGTTCAGCTCCACAAATGAGCTGCAGAATTCCCAGGGCCAGCTGCCCTGCATGCCTTGAGRTCAGTGGAGGTGACTCAACCCTGTCCTTGGAGGCTTTGAAAAAGAAGAATATTTTGGGAAGAGGTGAACTGGTTAGGCCCCACAGGACTCATCCCCTGTCTGTGTATGGAGCTGGTCAGGACCTGATTGTGGAGCAGAGGAAGGTACCCATGAGGGGGCACCTCTGAAGGGAAGCTGTGGGTGTTGATGTGTTTTTGATATGGGAAAATCAAGACCAGGAATCATAGAATCCTGGAATTTTTTGGGATTGGAAGGTACCTTAAAGACCACTTTGTTCCAATCCTCTCACCATGGGCAGGGACACCTTCTACTAGATGAGGWGATTCCAGGGCCAGTCCAAGCTGACCTTGACTATTTCCAGGAATGGGGCACCCACACCTCCCCCCTGACCAGCCCGTGCCAGGGTGAGGTGATGCCGCTGCTGCCCAGGGATGGATCCTCCAAGGCAGGGCCTGCAGGATCTCCAGGACAGCCCTGCTGACCCTTCCATCAGCCCATCTCTCCCTGCTCTGAATCTCAACAGAAGCAGCTTCTCCTTCAGAGCCYGTGAAGCCAGGGCAGAGTCAGGTAACACTCACAGCTCTCACAGCTCCCACGTGCTCTGCCTAAAGATGCTCCTCACCCACTCCAGCACCTCTTCAATTTCTCCACATTCTTCACGTGGAATTTCTCCCCTGCAGCCTTCTTGGTCCTCCAGGAGGCAGCTCCAGTGCTTGCTRTGTCCAGCATGGGAAAGGCATCTCAGTCCTGCCAAAGCAGCCCCGGGAGAATTTGTGCCAGTAAAGACCACCAGGGTCTGATGGCTGCAAAGTGCCCCCAATCAACCCGAAAAAATCATGTTTTCTGAAGTCATAGGAACAGCTTTCTGGGAAGAACAACATATTGATTTGGACCTTCCTCAGAAAGGGAAAACTTAYTGAATAGCAGTGTAGTGATCTGCTGAGGGTTGCTGGCTGTGTGTGTGCATGTCCAAGGCTCCCCATTGATCCTYGCAGGAGGGTCTGAAGACCCTTTAGAAACAGCATCTGCAGCACTGTGGCTGTGACCTGCATCACAGAGCTCCTCAGCCTGGTCAAACCCCGGTGGAGACACAGGTAAGTGCAAGGAATGTGGTTTGTAAACACCCCTGTTCTGAGTCGTGTGGGCAGGAAAACAAAGGAGTGGCAAGGACARAGAGACCAAATCCTGAAGGAACTTCCCCAGGACCAGCAGCTCCAGCTCTCCCCAGTGAAGCCTGAAGAGGTGCCACAGCTGCTGGGACAGCAGAGACCTTCAGGGATTGGCTTCAGATGTCCTTGGTGAGATGAAAAGTGACCCTGCCCAAAGCAAAGGGCCCGCAGCCATTTCCCCTCACTAATGACCTTCCTGTGGCCAAGTGTCTGCTCTGAGCTTGGCTCCTCACCAGCCCAGGACAGACACTTTGCAGGCAGCTGTAATTCCCTGGCAGCACAGGAGCCGCTGGGGGAAGGTGTCTCAGYGTGTTTTTGTTGTTTGCATTGATCCAAGCTCCAGACATGAACACTTTTTTTCTCCTTCCCATTTGTCTCTTCCCCTTGGCCACTCTCTGGCCATGCTCCCACAGTGGAGASACACCAGGCCTTGCCCACTGTGGTCCTCTGCCACCACAAAGTGCCACCTCCTCTGGTTCCAGACAAACCCAGGCTCTCTTGCAGGCTGATGTTCCACCTTGCCAGTGAGATGTGCAGCCCTGAAGGCTCGGCTGGATGGTTGCAATTAATTTAGCTGTAAAATGTGTTATCTACCCTCAATGTCCCTTCCCTGGAGAGTTTCTAAAATCATCTGGGGTCATGGCTAATGTGCTTCATGCTTTGACAGCAAATTGTGTGCCTGGGATGGGTGAGCTGCTCCTGTAAGAGGTCTCTTTTCTCTGGGATGAGCAATTTCAGCAGAGGTGCTGATGAGGATGGATCACTCTGGTCCTCAAGGTTATAGATTTGTTCCCAGAAGAGGGAAACAGTGGATGTCAATAGACCCAGGARGGTTTTACCCTTTCTGTCCCAGTGYAGGATSACCAGGAAGAGCTGACATTGYTCAGGGAACACCCCTGCTYRGAGGGCACTGTGCTGGTACAGAGCAGCTCCTTGGTCTTGGGCCAGGCAAAACAGCTTCCCTGTGGAGCTGAACCTGYGCTGTTTCCTCAGTACTTTTCCATTTCCCTGATGGACAGGGTTTTCCAAAATACACAGACAAGGCTGTAAATCGTGTTCAGACAAGATTCAGAGTGCAGCTTCTGTCGCCTAAACCCAGATTCAGATTCAAACTCCTCCTGTCAGTGCCCTGAGATGGGTTTGGCCACGAATGTTCCAGGCAATACTTCACTGCCAGCCACGTGCTCCAGCACTGTGCTRGAATATTGATTCAGTACCCTTTTAGACAGAATTCAATTAACTAAATTACCATCTTTCCATCATGGCATGGTTCCAGATGAAATGTTATTAGCCAGGACTCATCCCTGCATTTTGTTAATGTAATAACTGYGGCAGAGTTGTAAGAACACAGGGGGAGATGGAAGTAGGAAGATGCAGAGAAAGAAAACAAAAGGCAAGGATTGGATTCACCAGATTTAAATATGAGATAGCATGCAAGGAAAAACTGAACATGWTCCATATTTAATGTCTGTTCTGTTCCCTGTTAGAGCACAATTGTATAATTGCTCTGAACTCCAGAACCACCCAGAGCTGGAAGATGCACATCTTCCTGGTGGGSATGATGGAGCATTTCTCAGCTGGAAGAGGTGTTTTGGGAACAGTGTGGCTGCTCTCTTTTGTCAGCTGCTGTAGCAGAATGATTTGTGGACAGCAAAAACCTGGACAAGATTTTTGCAGAAAAAAAAATAAATGGTAAGCAGGGATTTGGTAGAGGGCATCTGCTGTAAGGATATATTTCCAAAACTGAAACACTGATTTCATCATGGAACCACAGAATGGGGTCAGAAGGGACTCCAAAGATCCTTTAGGTCAAACCCCCTGCCATGGCAGGGACACCTTCCACTGTCCCAGGCTGCTCCAGTCCCTGTCCAGCCTGGCCTTGGGCACTTCCAGGGATGGGGCAGCCACAGCTTCTCTGGGAAACCTGTGCCAGGGCCTCCCCACCCTTACAGAGATGAATTTCTTCCTAATATCCCATTTCACCCTGCCCTCTGTCAGTCTGAAGCCATTCCCCCTGTGCTGTCACTCCAGGCCTTTGTCCAAAGTCCCTCTCCAGCTGTTCCAGCTCACTGCAAGGTGCTCCAAGGTCTCCCCTTCTCTTCTCCAGGCCGCTTTCCATTTATTCAAAATGACATTTTAAAACATTTGTACTTGGATCTCTCAGTTCATAGCCCCAAGCTCTGTATTTCAAGACCTGCAGCTGCAGCCAAGATTGATTTTAAGATTTCATGCAGAGCTTGCTGACAATGGTTAATAACTGATAGAAACTGTTCCAAGAGATCAATAGCGTGTGCTAACACAGCTGGAAGCACATCAGTGGAGCTCTGTGATTGCAAAAGGCAAGTCTCCTGTCTCTCATTTTGACCTAAGATATTATTATATTAAAAAAAAAAAAAAAAAAAAAAAAAAAAAAAAAAAAAAAAGAAGAAGGTT